ACTCGAGTTCACAATGTTCACATGTCACTATGGCGCGAATCCGTAAATATGTTCTAGATCCACGACTGTCACGTGTAGGCATAGGTAAATAAATATACCTTCATTCAATTTAAAATGAAAAATGTATCATTGCTTTACAATGTGGCTCACCTCAAATTAACTTTATAAATTTGCGACCCTCAAATTTAAGGTTAGTGGCCACCCCTGCTATACACAGATGTCGTTCAAATAATATTTAAACATTTTTGTTTATATATTTCTTAACTTTTATTTCATATTTCATAAAAAAAAATGTTGTGAGTATCAATATTCTGTTTAAATTAAGTCCAGAGCACTATAGCAATAATATAAATGTAACCACTATAATGAAAATATGCAGATATGCAGTACACACTGACATACCAAGTTATTGTCGATTGATGAAAATCAATAAGAAAATAAACTGATAATTAGTGTATTTGTGCGTAAGTGTAAGTTACATGCAAATGGATACTCATTGTCCGAACATCGTTGCAAGGTCGTGATAGAGCCCGGAAGTATACATACTGGATTCCCAATTCCTTCTTAGATTGTTTTAAATGTAGATTTTTTTTCAGAAACCCGAAAGTTATTAGTTATAAGTTAAGATGGAGCTAACCATGCATTTGCTGTCTCCGTTTTACAAAAGTGTGACATGTCTACATAGCAAAATGTTCGTTTACTATAATATTATCAACGGTGTGCTGTTAGTTTTGATATTAGAGTGGATTAGCCTATTATCAAAGTTGTAGGTACAAATATTATCTATGTTTAAACGTCGGCTTTCTATTCGATATTTTAATTTTCAAAAGAGATATGAATATTTTCAATTTGTGATATTTCACATACCCATATTATAAAATATCAAAAAATTACAGACGCTTGAGCACAGATAATGTTCATACCTAAAAATTTGATAATGTATTAATTCACTCTAATAGCATAGTGAACATAAATTATCTTCGTCGTACGTTCGTAAGACGGAGACAACACAAGCGCATAGATCGCGTCCTCTTCACATATTATTAGTTATTGACTATACGTCTATACGAGGATCACTGTATTTGATATATTCTTCACCATAACTATTAACTACTAAAGTTTCCTGATGTCATTTTTTTTCTAATAACAACAAAAATCATATGAATTTTTAATTATATTTTCCAGTTCACCAGAAGGATACAAAATATAGAAACGTATATGCGTTAAACGTATAAAATAGTTCTACACTCCTACATTATATTTGGAAACTTTTCGTTCAAATTGATTAAGAAACATCAACATTTTCAAAAAAAATAGGTAACAGTAAAAATGGCAATTCTTATTAAGGAATAAGTATTATAGGTACCAACTTAAAAATTCAAATTTTGACTAGATGCAATTATTTAAGAATAAATTCAAAGGTGCATAATAGTTAAACATATAATGTATTGATTACTGACAAGACCGAAACGGGGGCGTCTAAAACTCCAGACCATCGCCCAAAAAATTCATTTTCAGTTACAGTTATAAATTTATAATAATTAAAACTGAACAATAGTAGATATAATGGTATCGACTACCAGTTCCCATGAGAATTACTCATTGGTGCCAAAAATAATTAATTCGTTTTGGCCTTAGGGTACAGAACAATAAAAGGTATGTTTTTCCGGAAGTCTGTAATTTTACACCAAAACAAAGATATGTAATTTTCACCACTATAGGCAGCCGAAAATAGTGTTTGTATTTTGCACCAAAATAAATGTCTAATAGTGATGGGCAAAATCGGTAGTTAGAATTATCGAATAGTTCAACGGACTATTCGAATAATTACATTTTTGGGGCCCGATTCGTAATCGCATTATAACACAGTACTATTAAACTAAATTGTTGAGCTAAATTTTTTTATGAAGGCTAATAAAAAAAAAAAAATGTAATAGGTTATGTAACTATTACATCAATAATACATCAATTTATTATTTCGACCGAATAATAACTTATAGTATTATACCTTAGTCTTTATGTTTCATCATAATAGATAATATATCTTCCCGTGCAGAGTATTTGTTCGTGTAGAGAAGTTTTTTCGCATTATGGAAGTTAAAATAATAAAAAATAATCGCGGGGAAGATATTTTAGAGTATATCACAATTACACATTTTATTTTACATATAAAACGAAAAATATGAATATAATTCGTTCACATAATTTTTACTCGAAAAAAATGTTCTGCAAAATTATTTACGGTAGGTGAAAATGGGAATATGACAATCATCCGTGATGAAAGTTCACACATCAATCACAACAAGAAAAACTTATGTATTTATATAAATGACAAAACACTTATATATATAATTACATAAGTACATAACAAAAAACCTGTAAGTATCAAAACAGTGAATTAAAAATATATGTAATTTAACTTATTTTAAACAAAACATCATCTCCAATAATTACAGTTCCAAAGTTAAAGTGCAATCCAACCAATTTGGCAATCAATGCAACATTAATTTGTTTTATTTTTTTTAAATTTTTTTTTTTTTAATTAGACTTTTTTATAATATTTATTTAATACTGACGTACCATATGGTGTAAATGATTACCTAATATTTAAGTGAAATAACCATTCAGAATCTATAAACAGAATATTCTGTGTCTTTAGCATCTCATATCTCAATATATTTTACTATCAAAACTTCTTCGACTATACCTATCTTATTTCAATCGATTTTAATTTTGATGCAAATTACATTTCCTATTTCTTACTACCTCAGATGGTGAAATTTACAAGTGTTATAAATATTTAGGGTCAAATTTGGTTCAAATTGACTACACCGACAGCCCATTTGCGCCAAATTTACCTGCGTAAACATTGTGCAATAACGACATACGTATATGTATAGATTTTTAAGTTTTGTATAATATTATTTTGTAGATAGATTGAACAAAATGTGTATAATTAATAAATATTTTTAAAAAATTTGTATTGATGACTATAGTTTAAAAAAAATGTTGAATTAGTTATTATTTGTGCAAAATTATATTCGTTTAATATAATTTATATAAAATGCGTACCTATTATTCATTATTATAAGAAAAAAATGGGTATTATTAATGATAATTATTATTTTTCAAATACGTAATAGATATTGACAATGATTTGAAAGTTTTTTAAAAAAAAAGCTATTATTATGTTACAAATAAAAATTGATTTATTATTATTATTATGTAAAATATCATTGTTTATTGTTGATTTTTTTAAATTCAAATTTGAACGTTATGTTTGTCATTTCTTTAAAAATACCTATATAAATTAAACCAAGTCGTTATTGTAAAATGTCCACAAAGGTAAATTTGGCGCATTTGGGGTATAGGATAAAACATATCTTTTTTATTTTGGAGGAAACGGGCTGTATCCAAAACAAATTAATTTTTTAGCGTAAATGTGCAATGCCAGTTTCTATGTACATACTCTGATTTACGATATATTTATATCGTATATATCTTATACATCTTAAGCCGTGGTATATACATCACAAATTATATAATATCATTGATTAGAAATACTAGTATTTATAATCAATGATAATATGTAATAAAACTATAAAAGCATCCTACTACGTGACCACAAATATAAATGTGTCACTGTGTCAAGACGTTCTAAAAATGTTTTGATTAATTTTTGATACATTTTTTCCCAATAACAAGCCTAGATAATGAAAGTTCACAGTGGTCGAATTCAATTCTGCTGCCTCCCATACAGATTAATTTGTAATTTTTTACTATAATTTTTAATTGCGAGGGTCTGATTTACAGCAGTGCAAAAATGGCAACTTAGTAGCAAAAATGGCAAATGCCAAATATGTCACTCGGTGCTTTTCCCCGCCGAACATCGGCGTATTCCCGATTGTTTATAAATAAAATAAGATACGATTTACGATTATTGTCTATTATATAAAATATTACAGGTGTACTTATGTGAGTGTGTAAGGCACTAAATAATTTCTCCCTCCTCCTACTATCACTGATACTAATTATTGAACAATTCGAACTTATGAGTAGGTACTTAGGCACGAGTAGGTATTAAACATTAAACATTGATTTTAGAATATTTCGGAATTGTATAAGGAACCCGACTTCATTATAATATTTTTTTTTTCTTTATTAATAATTATAATATCAATTATATTACTACCTTACCTATTGTAATTAAAAAATGTTTACATGTTGCCACTATCTCATTTTAAGTTAAAACTGGAAGTTTGGTGGTCATACAATAAATTAATTCTAACTTTTAGTAAAATATATCAAATATTTCTATTTTCTATCTATATTTTCGAGACGCACATCCGATAGTACTATGCTTTTTAAGTTTAACGCAGTGGATGGTCAATACGGCGAACGGTCCACCAAATATTAAATATTTAGGTATAAATGTCACTATGGCAAGCTAAATTATGTGAATATGGCACTTAAAAATGTAACTCGTAAGTACTTATCGTGGGATTTAAATTTATAAAAGAAACGACAATTATAATACTCACGGAATATTATGCCGAACTTCGTCAACCAATTTTCGGCATTTTAAAGCGATCGTGCAACCACACAGATGTGAAATTTAAAGAAAATCCTATAAATAATATTAAGACTGTGGCCTGCAGTGGCTGAGCAATCGGAGGGATAAAAACAAAATTAGTAAATACTGCGCTGGCGCAAGTGGATCTCCAACCAAGGAAATCGACCGATTTCTTTAAATGTGTTACCAACTTAAAATGTTCAAAATAAAATGTAATTCGTCATTAAATTATTTAATTTCTTATCATTGACATTTTACTTTTTATGAGAATACTAGTTAGTTGCATTTTACGATTCATTGTTCAGTTGATCTTCAACAAAAATTAATATATTTTAAAAATTGGATTAACACCATAAGTGTTATTTTCTAAACCAGTGTGACCAATAAAAGGGATATTTGGAATTGTGGACCAGTGTAGACCACTTACGTTGACATAAATGTCCGTGCCAGTGAAATTGCTAATTAATAATTTGCCAAAAGCTTCAACTATCCACTAACAACACTGAACTACATACACATCGGAGATTGAACATTTGAACGCTTAAACCGTTCGGTATCTTACTAGAGAGTAAAGTTATTAATTGTTGGTATTTTGTTTGGAATTGGTCGATTCATTCCATTTGAACCAATTATTGATACTGGTGTTTACCATCAGTACATGAAAGATGCAAATCAAGGATCCAGAACGTTTCAAAACCTGGCTGACAGCCGTCCTGGGACCAATATGCGAAGCTGATCCCGCAGCTCTAGCCAAATATATATTTGCATTATTGAAACGTGATCGGCCGATAAATGAACTTCAGAAGTTCCTTCAATCACAACTTGAAGAGTTCTTGAATAATGATACTGAAGGTTTTACTGTCTTACTAGTGGAAACGTTGCGAAACGAGTCTTACTTGATCGATGATCCGGTCGAGATCAAATGTGAAATTCCAGTCACTTCGTCTGGGGAAAAATCTGATACTGGTGAGAAACCAATTATTGATAAACCGATTATTAGAGATGATGAAAAACCTAGGTCTAGATCTCGTTCCCTTGTGCTGTCAAGATCACCGAGGGCTAAAGATGCCAAATTCACAAGATCCAAACGCTATCGACGGGATGATCATACTAGTGATGAAGATGAAGAAAGAGAATCATATCGTAAGTATCGTTACCACGGTCGGTCATGGTCACCAAGAAGATCAAAATCACCAAAATTCAAACGCAGGTTCAGGTCACCAAAAAACCGGTCCCGATCTCAGTCTGGATCACCTGTTAAAAAACCAAAAGAAGATATATTCGCTGAATTCAAAAAATCCGAAGGTATTGAAAAGAAGACATTGGGACGATGTGTTGATTTCGATGAAAAAGGATACTGTATGAAAGGTGATTTATGTGTTTATGATCACGGAAAAGATCCAGTAGTGTTAGCTACTGGTAATGGTGTCTTAAGTTTCCAAAATGCTGGGGCATCTTTTACAAACCCATTGGCTCCTGCATTTCCAGTACCTATTGTTCAAAATGTACAAGTGCCTGTACCAGTACAACCTTATCCGCAAGCCCAAAATCAACGAATGTACTATCCAAGTACAGAAGGATCTTATTGGGTTCGAGGAAGCGGAGAACAGAAATTTTCCAAACAAAAACGTGAGTTAGTTAGTGTACCTACTGGTGAAATCCAAAATCGTTTTAAAAGAAAGAACTTTAAAAAAGAAGAAAATAATTCCAACAACAATAAAAAGCCAAAGTTTGATTATAGACGTTTAGGTCCTAAAATATCCTCCAATGAAGTACAATTGAAAAATGTTCCAGAAAATTTAAATAATATTAGTAGCTTGAATAATAGTTTTATGAAGTTTGGAAAAATCACCAACATTCAAACAAGTAGTGAAAATAAAGAAGCCACAATTACATTTTCTGCTTCTCATGAAGCACAAAAAGCCTATCAAAATATAGAAACTGTTTTTGGTACTTTACCAATTACAGCTAATTGGTTTTCTGATAATTCAGCTGAAGTAAAACCAGCAGAAGACAAAGTTACTTTACCTCCACAAAAACCTAAGACTCTGTCTTTAGATAATAGAATTACTGGTCAGACACGATTAACAAATGAAAAAGAAGCCGAAGTCATCAAATCATCATTGCTTAAAAAACAAGAAGAAGCTAAAAAACTAGCTCAAGATTTTTCCGCTGCTATCACCAAACGTAAACAAGAACTGTTGGACAAACAGTTGGAACAATTAAATAAACTTATAGAAGCTGCTCCTAATGTTAAAGGTGAACAAAAACAAATGTTAATGGCTACTATTATTCAACTCAAAACTAATATTGAAAATATTCAAGCTGACTTGGCTTCTGCAGTAAAAAGACCAATTATATCTCAATCTAATGTAAAAGTTGTAAATAGCCTACCACCAAAAACACCTACTAAAGAGGATAAATTATTAGAAGCCAAACAAGAAGCATTGAAGAACTTGCTGTTAACTGATTTAGATTTATTTATTAAACAACAACAAGGACATAGCGATGAAAAAGAAATATTAGATTTGAAGAAAAATGTTATTATTTTAAGAAATAAACTGAAAGGTCTTGGAATTACACCGGCATCTGGGGTTGCTAAAACTGCATATCAAATGAAAGAAAAATTGGCTATTGCTAACAAATTGTTGGAAGCTAAAAATAAAGTTCGAGAAACAAAAACTACCAGCATCTCAGTTGACCATCGACCAACTCAATTATTAGTGTCTGGGTATGAAGCAGATGATGAAGACCAAGTCGTAACACATTTTTTACAGTTTGGTAACATTATTGAATATATATCTGATACAATAATTCCTGCGTTAGTTATAAAATATGAAATAAGAAAAGATGCAGAAACTGCACAGATAAAGGGTAAGCTCTTCCAAGATAGAAGGTTATCAGTAACGTGGTATAATTCACAACATGATTTTGTTGATACTTCCAATATAAAAGCCGGACCATGCATGGGCGCCCGGTTGGAAGACAATTCACCTGCCAAACACTTTGAAGACAAGGAATAATGATTATTATTATTGTTTGTGTTTTGTTAAAAATGTGTGATCTATATACCTAAATGATGTATATAATAAATATAATTATTATGGTAAAAATTAATATTTTAATCATATATCCCATTGTTAGAGATATATTTCCTTGATTGTATCTATTTAGATGATTTGATAATCACCCATTAAGGGGATGTCTGCACTTGATGATAAATTGTGCATGTAATTCTTAAAATTAGGTCTTAAGAAAATTGAGATAAAAGAAATCTGTATTTATGTTAGTAGATTTTACATTTTAATTGTTTAACTTATCTTCGTAAGTTCAATACTATTGTTCATTATTTTAACACCATAAAAGATAAATTACAAACCGTTTCCACAATTCTAAATTTTCTTTTATTTTATGACTCTGTTATTATATAAGTTATTAAAAACATATTCATTTTTGATTAATATGATAACTTTTCCTGTTGGTAATTAATACATTGTACACTTAATTTAGAGAATAATTGCAAACACTTTTAAAATTTTAAATATGAGACTGAATTATTTCTTTAGTCATTTATAATTGTTAAAATTTCTATTTGTTCTCATAATGATGAAATAAATGTAATTACATGACATCTGAATGTTTAAATATTTATTTTACACAAAATCACCTATTACAGAGAACAGAATCACAAATTAAAATTGACTATACATACTTTGCAAAAATGAATATTAAAAAAAGTACAGCATTTAAAAATTGAGCAGAACATAACCTAACTTTACTTTAAATTAAAATTACACAATTGTTGTTTAAGGTTTATACTTAATTTTTTTAATTTAAATTTATGTATTGAGATATACCACTCATAATAAGAATGTTAGATAAATAACACATAGCGTGGTAAGAAAATAAAATAAAAAGTGGCCAAGTGCGAGTCGGGTACGAAAGGGTTCCGTACCATTATCTATAAGAACGGCCTCAAAATCATGTCTGTTGTATGGGAGCCCTACTTCTATATTTATTTTATTATTAGTATTTTTTGCTGTAATGGCAATAGAAATACATCTTCTGTAGAAATTTTAACCGTCTAAGCATTAGTCCTTTTTGGTCTCCCTCTTCACTTAGGTCGTAAAGAAATATTTTAATCGATAGATTGAGTAACTTGAAACTTTTTGATTAGTTATTTGGAAAAATATAAAACTTTTAAAATGTATGTTAACATTTATTCAAAACCTAAAGCATCGTAAAATTATGCATATGCAATAAATCAAAAATTGAATTCACCTGATATGATAAGATATTTTATTATTATTATTGAATGGGCATATTATAGACAATATGGAGTTTAGGCTGTAAAATCTTAATTAATTAGGTAATGTTTTAATAAATTAAGGATACGCTGTTTTATTTTGACTTTTTATCTAAAAGAAAATCAACTTTTTTTAAATCATAATATGTGGTAATAATATATTACATGGACTATTTGGAACTAAGTGTTTTGATTGTGGTTCAGTATAGAAACAAAAGAACATTTTAAATTTTATCTTTATTTTAACATACTAACTGTAATTATTAAAACGATTAAAACTTAAAATTAATTTGTATTAAATCTTAAAATATAAACAACATAAATGTGTTATAAAAATGTATTAAGTTGAAAAAACTTGTTTGGATTTTTTTTTGCTACAGGAATTATGGTGGGAATGTGAAATGCACTCCCTACACATTTTGGAAAAAATAGAAAGCAGGACAATAATACAACATTTATGATAATAATTATATATTTTTACAACAGTATATAATATTATACAACAAGTTATAGTATAGGTACATTATGTTTTATCTTTTATGTATATATATAATGTATTATTCTACTTTTTTTTAGAGAAGTGTAGTTGATCACACTTTTGTCTACAGTAATCACATAAGGTCAACACACTTGGGTAGTATAATAATGCTATAACTCTTATGATATTATATTCGATAAATAATTTAAATAATAATGTGTCTGTTTCATTTCGTACATATTTTTATTGTACTGAAAAAAATATAAAATATTTTATTTGTAAAAACAAAAATGGCAGAACATTTTCCAATACAATAAATAAGTAAAATATTTATAACTTTTTTTAGTTTTGGTGTAAATTAAGCCAGAACTTCAGTACCATCCTTACATTGAAAGTATTTCACATGAATATACAACATTTATATCGACCACTCTGGAATACATTTAAGTTTCACTATGAAACAGGCACATACATATTATTATACTTGATTTAGATAATAAATATAAATATTTTGGTAATGTGATCTATATATTTATTTATTTTTTAATGATATTGTCAGACTAGACTTAAAACATAAATTATTCTACTATTTTAATTTAAGTGTCAGAACTACTTAATTTTTCTTTTTTTCGATCTTAAAATATATACTGTTTACATATTATAAATATTACATTTTTTTTAAATATATAATTAGTAAGTATACAATGATAATTTATTGTTGTAAATTAAATGCGAAATATTTTAACTTTAGAAATCAAGGTCCCTTCTGTGTTTAAATAAAATATTGAATTGAATCTGAGAAAGTAACAGAAAAATGACTAGAGCCAACACTGATCTAATTGCAGTATTAAAACATGATGATTAAAAGCAATTTTTTTGTTAAGGTTAATAATAGTATTGTTAATAAACAAAACATAAAGAATACACGGTTTGATACACACATAAGAACCCTGTTTGATCACCAAATTAGGGTGACACTAATTTTGAGATTCAATATTAATGTTAACTATAATTTTAAATTTCATTTCATTTTAAAGGGTACAGTTATCCAGAATAAAATGTAATATATGTATAGTTCAATATTCATCTTCAAAACATACATGCACAGTATTATGAAAAATAACTAATATATTATGTAACTAACCCTTAAGTCTTAACTATTTGCAAATTAAAATGTTTAATAACTGTAGTTTCAAAACATTTGATTAACAATGTAAATCATTTTTTAACAAGGTAAGGATGGAATATGGTCATAATTATAACTGAACTGGGAAAAATTACCATATTAAGTGTTTTTAACAGCATCACAAAAAATGTACATTTAACAAAATCATTGAAATTAAAAAATAGAAATAATAAAAATAAAGGGATTAAAAATATATAATATATATATATAATTACTGATTATTAATAATGGGAGTTCAATCATATAAAATATGATAATACATAGAAACCTTAAAAACTATAATTTTACTAAAAATTAAAATCACAGAAACTTAATAAGTTATGCACAAAATTTTTAAATGTTTAGTTTTAGAAAAAAATGAATATAATAAAACAATTTCAAAAGAAAAAGTAATAATTCAACTTAATAAATCATGATTACTGCAAAACACTACAATGATGGATTTGATCAAAAGTCGGTCAAACAAAAGACACCAAGATACAATTAACTGAGTGTCTTACTAATTTATATTTTACATTTACTGTACCTATACAAATACTTTGACTAGGCTGTCAGCTCCAGCACTGGCAATATATGCTTCAGATGGATGAAACGCAACATCTAATATAGATTCATCTAACTTTTTTCGATGTGCAGTGATTTCTTGTACACAAGTTTTACTTTCTAAATTCCATATTCTAATGGATGAGTCATGACCTAAAACAACCAATTACAAATTTTTTTGAGTATTTTTTTTTTTTTTAATATTTTTAAAAAATGTTAAATGTTACTTACTTCCAGATAATAAATATAGGCCATTAGGATCCACTGCCAAGCTAGTAACAGCGTCTAAGTGGGCAACCATAGAATGAACCATTTTGCCAGTATTGTTATCAAAGAAACGAATATGATGGTCATCGTGTGCTGTAATAGTTAGAGGTAATGTTGGGTGGCATTTAACCCGATGAATTAGCTGAGTTGCCATTTCAGTTGGATCCTATAAAAATAACATACAATTTAATACACAACATTATTTTACAAATTAAAAATTGAATTTAAACTAAAAATCAAAACTCTTGTAAATATAAACCTTTGAGCATTCTAATCGAGTTATAGGACTCTTGGTTTCAATATCATAAATAACACAATGAGATGAATTATATGATGCGACAAATTGACCTTCAACATCTCTGACATAATCGACTGAAGTAGGAATTTCATCTGTACAACAAATTAAGGGATTTAACATATTGTGTCAATATCACTTATAGACAAACAAACGCTATATTCATAATTTTGTCTACCTTGATCAGAAACATAAGACGACAAACATGGTGTCTTGAGATTGGTTGGTGACCAAAGTTTAACTGAACCATCAGCTGAACATGATAATAACTCTGAACGGTTATGATGAACTGAAATTCCCCACACAGCATCTTCATGGCCTTCTAGGTTATTAATCAGTATGTTTTTATCTAAACACCAAAATTAAAAGATAAATATAGTTTTAACTTATTAAGTTGTAGTGTTAATGTTTTAATACCATAAGAATCATAGGGATCTATATTAGCTGATGGCATTGACCAAACTTTGATTACATTATCCAAACCACCACTGTAACAGTGTTCACCATTTTTACTGATAGCCAAACAAAATACTGGTCCAGTATGGCTTCTAAATGTATATAATGGCTCTACATCTAAAGATGCTGATCTATAAATTACATAATTTAATTTAAAAATTAATCATTTAAAGATACAATATTATGGCAAACAAAAAAAAATGTTAATACTTTTTAGGAGCAATGGTTTTTTGCAAATTCCAAAGCTTCATAGTATGATCTTCACTAGCAGTTATTAAAATAGATTCAGTTGGATGAAAAGCCAAAGCACGAACACCATCAAAATGACTACGTAGAGTGTACTTAGCATTCCATGTCTTTCTTGATGCAGTTTTCATATCAATAATCTTGAAGAAAAAAAAGTTAGTAATAAACAAAACAGGAATTGAATAAATGTTTCATCTTACATCTGCATTAGTCTCTGATTCATTATTTACAGTAAGTTGCGCCAATTCTCCTAACCCTAAAGCTAAATCCATATTGCCATCAACCATTTCAACTGGTTCATTTTTTATCCAATTAGCATTATTTGAATTCTTGTTAAACACATCTCTATTTGAAACTTCTAAAAAAAATAAAAATAGCTGATAAGTAGAGCAAAGATTTTTAAGTTTAAACATATCATTGTATGTAAGCTAATAGTCTAATGAGTCAAATATAGTTCATAGGAAAATGTTTTTTTTTTTGTATACTTGAGAGTACTTCCCGGATAGGCAAGTAGTTTCTTTAGCATAAAAATACTCATTTATTTTAATTTCCAATTGTTATTATTTTTATTAATTAAAAGTTTGTATATTGAGGTGCCAAAACAATTTTTCTGTTTGAATCATTTACCAATTACAATCTTTTGAATTGTGATTTTGTTTGAAAATTATTTTAAGTTGCATCTAATGCAAATTTAATAACACTCGCCCTAATAGTAATATCAAGTTGATTGCCATGCATTCACTCGACATACGGCAGTTCACGTAATATCAATAGTTTCATACTGACAAAAACAACATATATTTTGATCATTAAAAATTTGTTTCTACATGTTTAATTGCTCATTTAATTAATAATTATTTTAAAAATTGAAAGTTTACATAGTAAAACATCATTGTTATTTGTCGATAATTCTCATTTTTAAGAGAATATTGCCTTATAAACAGATTCTTTTAGAGCATAACATTAGCGATTTTGACATTTTTAACCTAAAAATCTGGATCCTACTGATACATAACATTTGATATAACACAATACAGTATTACTGTAACATACTCCAGTCATTTTGTTCATTTTCTTTGTTACTAATATCTTCTGTCAATAATTGTAGCTCATTTACAACTTCTTCAGCCTCTGCATCTACATCATCAGGGCCAAACTAAAACGAATAATATTAATTAATTAAAAATTAATATTTCAGAAAAAAAGTTTTAAAGGAATCTTACTTTACAAATAGATGTCATATCAATGACATCATCCGCCATCCCCATTTCATCATCATCTTCATCATCATCATCATCATCATCATCAACACCATCATCATCCATATCTACATCTCCAGAATCACTTGTGCTACGCATTTCAGATAAAAACTCAAAATTTGCCATGACAGCTGATTCAACATCTAGTAATTTTTTTTGGTTTTGTTGCTGTTGTTGCTGCTGTGTCTGAGAAATATTGATTTTCCAAATAATTTAATTAATTTTTTGAAAGTTTTAAAAATACTTACTCGCTTGGTAGGGGAACATTGGCCTTGATTGTCGCTAAAACGTTTATTGTAGTTGTTACCATTAATCTGATTATTATCGCTTTGCCCTTGTTCTATACCACTCAAATTGTTATTATTATTCAGACCTAAAAGATTTCGAACACGTGATGACCGAACATCAATTATTGTATCCGTATACCCAATTTCATGTAGATATCTGAAAATAAATAAGATTATAGACATTGACACTAAAAATCAGCAAATGAACTTACTCTCTAAGTAGTTGCCTGCCTTGTTTCCAACTGACATTTGAGACTGATGATAAAGGGGCTTCACTATCTGCACCAACTTCTGGTATAGAAGAATATTCATCTTGTGCACTCGAAGAAGCAGAAGGTAGTTGCATTTCGGATTGTGGAATTTCTGTGCCATATTTTAGTTTATGATATTTTGCTCTAAAAATAAAAATGTATTTTTAATGTTTTTAATTATAGAATAAGCAAAATATGAATATAATAAATATATACCAATATGTTAATATGATATACAAATAGTATCAATTAAATAAGAATGTTCTGAATTGGATACCTAACATTTAATCAGAGCATATAGATAATGATTAAAACATACACTTATTACTTATGACAATTTTAGCAATTTATAAATTGTGTATGAAAATATTATGAAGTACATTTTAATTTAAACACATAGAATCACATTTAAGTAATTTTTAAAATATACAAAATCATAAGCCTATTTATCTATCCATACTTACCTACCCATACAATATTACTAATAAGTAATAATAAATACCTAGTAAAATATCCTTAGAAATAGGGGCTGATACACAGTATCTGCTAAGAATCATTTTTTATATGTATACAATGATTTAAATTCAAATTGAACATATCGATTGCAGTGACGAAATAGGTAAAGACAAAATTAAGAAGTTTCCCCATCAAAAAATATTAACATAGCCACCACCGAGGGCACCAATGATTTTAAAATTAATTAATTAATTAATTAATTTAATCACCAAGTAGATAATTGATTTTCCCTGCTCCTAACATTTGATACTCAAGATATTTGTCTCCTCCCCCTTAAATGCGCAACTGCATGGAATGTATGAATAGACATTGTCAGAATCATAGCTAGGTTAACAAATACTGAATAGCAATATTTACCAATTAACAAGTATAGAAATAGTAATAAAATAAAAAACAAAACAATTTATAAAAACATTACAACAGACTTACATTTCCAATAAGAGGTTTGGTACACTTGATACAGATTGTAAAATTGATATTAAAATAATATTAATATTACCTTTCAGCTCGTAGCGCATGTTCTAACATTTGAATTCGACGAATTAAATCATTTTTCAGATTGTCTTGACCTTTTCTTTCACCCTGAAGAAATGCAATTCTCGCCTAATAAAACAAAAAAAATAAAAATTTAATATAAAATAGGTGCTTTTTTATTGAGTATTAATCTATTATAGGTAAATAGTAATGTACATTACTTGTTTATCGCATTAGATAGTATTATTGATGTTTAGTCGTGTACAAATTAGTAACATTTTATAGAAATATAATCATATTATCAAACGTTTTTTTCTAAAAAAGTAGTTTATATTGTATTATTATAAAGCTTATACTAATAGACCGGCCCTGTAGATTAAAATCCTATTCGAGATAGAAGGCATTTGTATGGGCTTAAGTAATCAATTCTGTATGTAATAGTTTTTGTTTGTTATTTTTATACCGAATATCAATAGCGATAGTTCCTTGGGTACCCTCCATCTCAGCTCATGACTTGTAATTTTAGTTGTATGGGCATGGCTACTCTATGGTGTGTGTATACATTTACATTTATTTGAGTAAGTCACATTAGTATCACTTAAATAATAGGTTTAGGTCTAAAATATGTAGGAACAGCATTGATAAGGAGAATTTAAATTTGTTACTTTTTAAATAAATTAGGTACTTCTATACCTAATTTGAAGATGACTAATTGTATTAATTTATTATTAACAAGCCAATATTTAAACTTAACAAGACAATTAAAAACTTGTTTAAATCTAAATTCATACACCAAGAGACATACATTAGATAGACTATAGGTACCAATCAGAAGGGCTGTACGATATTTATCATTCAATATCAGAACATTAGTCGGGCACATAGGACATCTACCTCGTTAGAACTACAGGTATGCGATTTGCTATGTATGCCATATGAGACATTTCGCGTAGGTTGTCGAACGAAATTACAACATTCTAAGGGCGAAATTTCGAGCTATCCAAAAGCAGGTAGACACTTGTTACAAGTCCCTGCCCAAGCAACGGCGACTATAATATGCCCTCACCTGCAACTCGGCCCTGTCGATCTCCCAGTGGGACCGCTCCAGCTCGAAGTTGGACCACTCGTGCTGTATGAAGTGCAACACGCCGGGCATCGTGTACTTCACCTTGTTGTTGACGCCACCACCGTCGCCGTTGTCGCCCTTCTGCCCAAAACCGCCGCCCGGCTGCTGTTGCTGTTGGCCCGGCTTGCCGCCGTTGTACCCCTCTTCCATATTATTCATTGCCGGCAAACTAAACGGCGTTAGTGGACCCCTCATCTAAACGCCATCGCACCGCTGAACGCGCGCGCACACACACACACACACACGCCCCGAAAACAATAACAACGGTACCGCCGTACGCGACTAAAACATTGATGTTGTTATCCCCTATGTGTTATTATACATATATAATAATAATAATATGGACAAATGGGTATGATAATCGTGTAGATCCCGGATACGTCGGCGTTCGTCAATCGATCGGAATTCGTCGTCTGTTATTTCTGAAATTTTGTTTAGTACTGTGATTTGTTTACGAATTTAAAAAAAAATTGTTTTTTTTTTTATTCAACTGCGGAGACGCACTTTATTATACCGTTCCCGGTTTCGATTCGCCGACGATCGCGAGCGCAGGTAACTAGTAAACGAAATCGGTCGGACCGGACAAGACGGGAATTCGCCTCTGTGTGGCGTTCAAACACGACAAAATAATTTAATATTATAATAATAATAATAATAATAATAATAAAAATACTGATGAAAAAAAAAAGTCGTAGACCGTAGTTGCCATTTGTCACGAAATCTGCCGTGAACATACAGACCAATGCTGCCAACGGAGGGTGTGCGGCGACCCCGGCCATTGGTTCTCAACGTTTCCCGCGATACTTCGCGGTAAAACTTACTGTCTTTACGGTGGATCACAACCGTAAATTGTGAAAATTTCGAGACAGATTTATCGCAATTATTTATGATGCTGTTATCTATTACTTTTAAGTTCAAACAGAAGGGTCACATTAAATTGCGTCAAATTTTTCACTTTTTATGTAAATTGCTGCCTGGTTAAATTTTATATATATTATGACATTATTGACATTATGTAAATTGGTGTACCTTAAAGAAGAACAATACTATACTCTAATTAAATTTTCATCAAATATTAATAATAGTGTTTTCTGTACACGATAAAATTTTCAAAATATTTTAACACTGAGCTGATTATTGTAGACATTTAACAGTTTTTTTCTTCTTTAAATATCGATAAACATTTTTTCGCTCGGACGAAATCCTTGAAAATATAATACAAGGTTCCTCATTAGTTGATCATATTCCAACTAAAAAATGTCATAAAATACAAAATCACATTATATTTTATAAGCATTTAAAGTTAGAATTGGATGAAATTCTTAAAAATCACTAAAATTTGCATGTTAGAAATTCATTAATAGTGAATGAATGAGAATTCATATAGTTCTTTGTATATTTGCTCGGACAGATAATCTGTAAATAACGACAGTTAAAAAATCATCAGTTCTTAAAGTTATCAACCATTTTCATCTCTGTGACCCTCTTTATCTATATACGGGTATTATATCCAAAATTTGATTAGAACTAGCAATATGTTATGAAGAACATTTAGCGCAAATTTGACTAGAGACATTACCGAAAGAACAAAACAAAAATACTACATGCAGAATTACAAAACAGCTTCTGTTAAAAAAATATTTGGAGAATATTTAATTTCGGGAAAAAAGGGAAAGCAAATTAACAGCTATAGGTGTCTATATACCTAGCATGTATATAATATATTATCTGAAATCACCATATGACTGTCAATGGACAAAATTTTTCCTGAACATAAAAATTAAATTAATTTATTATGGTGAATGGTATGAGATTTTCATTAATTTTAATTTGCAATGAATGTTCAGAATCACAATGTATTGATTTTACAATTTTTTATTTTTTATCCTTTTTTTTGTATCTGTTTACACGATAGGTTAAGGTTACCAAAATAATATAACTATAATCAGCTTCAGTATTTTTTCCGATGGGCAAGTGAATCTATAGTTGAATCTCTTCGGGAGGTTAAAATTTAAAATTCCCAGTAGTTTTCAAAAGCTTTGGGGAAAAAAGGGTTTTCGACAAAATCAATTTTGAATTTTCGCTGAATGTTTATATACTAATATAGTGATGAATATACTAATGTTAAATTGATATTTTTTATACAACCATACAATTTTCAAAATATGTTGACTCGTGCAGAGCTATTTATAGGCATATGAAATTTTCTATTTTTATTAGTTTTTTTTTCAATAATGTCTACAAAAAAGTGTTCTCTCGGTTAAAAAAATTAAAAATTTGATACAAGGTTCCTCATAATGATATGTAATATTTATAATGTTATTATTAATAATAATATGTAAGTCTATGGATTTTACTAGGAGTCGTTCACCTATAGTAAACGCATACTCAATAAATGGCTCGAGTATAGATATGGTCACTACTATAAAAGATCTGGGTGTAATTTTCTGTTCTGACCTCAATTTTCACACTCATATAGAGTCAATTTGCTGTAAAGCGTTCAAGACTCTAGGTTTTGTTATCCGAACGTCGAAGAACTTTAAGCCGACCACCTCGCTCAAAACGCTGTATTGTTTTCTGTTAAGGTCCATACTAGAGTATGCATCCGTTCTTTGGGATCCGTACACAACAACTGACTCCTCACATCTAGAGCAAGTCCAGAGGCGTTTCTTATCATCTGCCGCCAATATTTTAGGAATACAGCACATTAAGCATGATTACCTTCCTGTCTCTAATAAGCTTGGATTGATTTCCTTGGTTGATAGACGACAGCTAATCTGATGTTTTTGAGCAAGCTAATTAATGGTTATATTGATGCTCCCTCCTTACTCCTCCAAGTTAACTTTAAAGTTCCCCTTCGTTCTTCTAGATCATGTTTTCCTTTTGTAATTCCTTTCCATCATACTAACTATGGTAAGAACAACCCAATTGATCGAATGATGCGTTTGGCCAATGAAACCCTACCTCATTTAGTTTATAATACTGAATTCATTATGTGTTTTGTTAATTAATAATTACTTTATGTCGTCAAAATGTTGTGTTATTGAAGTTATATTAACTGATATTTGTAATTACTTTCTGTTACCATGCATTAGATTTTTCAAATGTATGTAAAATATAATATGTCATTTTTGGGCCTTGTGCCCGTTATATAATAAATAAATAAATAATATGTTACTGGTGGAATCTTATAATATGAGCGTCTAAAGTTAGAATTTTAACAAAATTCGTAAAAACCACAAACATTTGTAAATCATGGGTTAGATTTTTTAAATATGTGTCCCAATACCAATTATCCAACTATGATAGTATATTCATAGAATAAAACAAAATACATTTCATTCGTGATGAAAATAAAGATTAAATATAATAATAAATAAAAGCTATACAGGGCTATATATATAGTATGTTCTCAATTCGGCGTTTTGTATTCTCTGTACAATTTTTAAAAGCCCCCGCTCTAATCCTAATAAAAAAAAGCGCAAGGCCCTGTTTGACTGAAATACATTTATCTGAAATATCAAGTTAAACTTTGTTCAATAATTGTGTTAAATGAATTATGATGAATTGTCGACTACCTATATTGTAAAATTATTCAAGCATACCAAATAAGCAATAACAGATAGAAGGAATTTATAGTTTTCAAAATCAAAATATTTAGTTGTGTATCGTGTATGGAAAGATTTGATCGATACAAAAGATACATGAAATATTGCTTATTAATGCTGTATAATATATAAATAGTACCGTCACATATTTTAATATTTAGTAGCACTAAGATCGGAAGATCTAGAATGCAATAACTGTGTGTCGACATGACGGTATATAATACTTCTCGACCGTCAACTTATATAGGTAAGAAATAAAAGAATGAATGGTGTACCGATATATACCATTATGCTTTATATCAGTATGACTGATATTATGCTAAACGATAGGAAATTATGAGTAGGTAGTATTTTGTTGTAGGTAGTGCTACCGCATGATAATATTATAAATCTAGTGCCAAAATATATTTTAGACTCGTAGGTTGTAGCTTTAAAATTTGTTTAAGTATATTAAAACAAAAAACCTGAAGCTTAATATTATTTTAAGAATAATCTATTGAACATTCGTCTACATTTTACATACTTTACATTACTAAAAATTGCAATTTGTACAGTAATGCTTGGTAGTTATTTTATCCATTTTTATAAAAAAATATGTAAATGAGGTAATTTTCCTCAAAATATCTAATGCATGTTAATATGTACGTCTACCGTTAAGTGTTGACCGTACAGGTAATTTGTATGCATACAATTATTTTTTATCTTGAAATGCTTAATTTAATACCTAGGTCAACCTATCTTTTACATATTTACTGCATGAGTGCAGCGAGGTAGTGCCTATACAATTTATCAATACAAATAAACTAATTTGTTTAGTGGTTTTCCTATAATATTTTAAATATTGAAATTATAGCAGAATAAAAGTATAATTTGTTTGCACTTTACATTGATCGTTGGTAGGTAATTGGTATTTTTACTCTGATTTATTTTTGTGTTGCCATTTTAGGAACCCATTTCTTCTACATCTACAATATTATAATAAAATAAAAATTGTCTTATTTGTCAGTTGATGTTTAGTTTGGTCACACTGCGGCTATCTTTGACGATAGCCTGAAAAGAAAAGGAAACAATGATAAGCTGCTTGTATCGTTTTAATTTTTTTTTATTAATTATTAATTATTACATTTCATATTATTTGTAAAAAAAATAGTATAAACTTATATACCTATTACCTAAGCAGACTAATAGGTTAAGTTTAAGTAGAAATTTATCATTTTTCTATTTGGTCTAAATTTAAGTTCAAATTATACTTAACACAATCATAATTTAGTTCTTCGTTGGTTATTGACATATGCTGATTGTTTCTTGCAATCATTCAGTACATTCAATTTAAATAAGTAAGTTCATTATTATTACATTTTCAAAATATATATAATATCATATTAATGTGTTTATTGTTTTAAAACGTGAAATGTTGATCAACATAATATAGTATTATCTCTTAACTATACATACATTTTTGAATATTAACCTTTTATACACCTGTGATTTTGTTTAAAACTAAATCCATAATTTTTTTAATTTTTCTATTTGAATTGTTGAATTAAAAAAAGTATTTTATCACTTCTAAAAAGAATATATTGTATGTCAATTAATTTGATTATTATAATTATGCTAATCACAACCTTTTTTAATTACTTGGTGTATAACATTTTCTCGCTACCCTATAATTTACAATTCTTCCCTTAGTAATAATGTCAAAATTATAAATTTAGTATAGTACCTAATAAATATTTGGATAATTTATTTTTACATTTGTATTCTATTTGTTATAGGATTATTATAATATGGATAATAACCATGAAACAACTGCAACTAAGCCAGAAGGTAAATAATGTATTTAATTATAGAATTATTGTAATATAGTAATTGTACAATAGATCAATTTCTTAATGCAATTTAATTTTCAGGGGTGTTAACCACTTAAAACTGTTTATTATGATAAAAACTATTTAAATCTTTGCATGCATTAGTGTATTATACAATTATGTAAATTTTGAACTGGTATAATGTAAAGAATGTAATAAATAGGTATAATAATTCTAAATTAATAGATATACATTATTAAAATTAAGGAGGTACCCACCATTTTCTTATGATCCACATAGTCAATTTTGGATGAGTAGTTTATGAGTTATAAGTATTTAAAGAGTTGAGCATGGAACAAGGCCCCACTCTGGGCAGGAGTACCCCTGCAAGAAAATGTTAGTCCAATCCTCTCCCCATTTAAACTTTGAATACTTATACTTAACAAATTTTAACTAACATACAACTTGTCCAAAATTTGATTTTTCATAGATCAAATACTCCGAATATTATTCTGTTTTAGAGTATAAAATTAAAATTGTAAGTTGTCTATCAAAAATCTAAAAAACTTAAAACAACAATAAAATTGATTGAACATCTTTTGAAATTATGAGTGTCTTACGGAAAATGAATCACCCCGTATTGCAATTACGTATATTGTTAGGCATGGCAAAATTTTATTTTAATTACTCATTTATTATAATATTGTAATATTTGAAATCAAAATATGTGACGTTGGACAAAATTATAAATGAAAATTATGGGTGTTTGAAGGATGATGAAATATTAACTTTTAAGTTTTGTTGATTTCTTGTCAGATGGCACTATTGAGGGACTTCCTGTTCTAATATTTTAATGTTTTAAAAAAAAAATTTTGTCATCATACTTATTGATTCTTGTAAAAATAGACTGTAAATATATTCTTCCTAAAAATAAAAAAAAATAAAATAATAATAAAAAAAAGTTTTGTTACAAAAAAGTACAACAGAAGAAAACTTGATGACAAGAGTGCAGGATGATACATTATATATAGTAGGGTGATACCTACATGTGAAATTAAGATTTTAACTATATTAGTTATTAGATGCCTAACATAACTTAAGCCAAAAGTAACATATTATGTTATTGTCATGACTTCATGAGTCATCATAAAATATGGCTAACCTTTTTATTACCTCTTAATAGTGGTTTTGATAAAACTGTTCCTAATGTTAATCTGTATTTTATATATGTTCTATAATTGGTCTAAAAGACTGATTTTGAAAAATTTCTTATTTTCCAGTCATATTATTACTGTTTTTCGGACAGTATAAATATAAATTATTCAACTCACAAAATTAAAAAGTATAAAAATTGAATTAATTGTCTTATACAATATTATATTTGATTTTTCACATACAATTAAAAAATATATGTATGACTTTACATACTATACTATACTACTATACTTTTATAATACAAAAGTATCAGATAGTTAAGTTCAAAAGTATAAGAATGGATGTGAACCGTTTACAATTATTATTGTTGTTCCAAATAAAAATTAAAAAAATACAAAAGTATAAGTCTATTTTAAAAATGTTTGAATAAATAGTATGAAGCTAACTTCTGAGTATAAGAATTTAAAATTGGTTATATTCTTTTAAACAATGACGTATACTACTTAAAAATGTTTCTATTGTTAGCTCATTATTACTAATTTTTGTAAATAAATGTTGTGATTTTATCTATTTTAATTATAAATATACATAAATCAAAATTTAATCAGACAGACAGACACCTGGTAGTGGAGTGATACATTTTATACAGAGTGGTGGCAGGATAATAACAAATTTGTATTTTATTTTTTTAAATATTTTTAATTAAAATTTTGTGAATTTAATTTGAAATTATTGTATTTTTGAACTTTTTTCTGACTCTAAGATGTGATCAGACTTTATAACTGACACTAAAAAAATTGAGTCCAAGCTTTTTATCTTACTTTTTCAAATCAAACTTTTCGTCTGAGATTCATCTGCGCTTACACCCAAGTATTAAAAATAGTTGCATTTTATTATTTAAGGTCAGGTTTAATAAGTTGTTTTTTTTATGAAAACACTCCAAAGTATATTTCTAGTAAAATAAGTGTTATGTTGTATTATATTTTATGTTTGTTTTTATATCTTTAGGATTGGAGCAGGATGAATTGATAATTCAACAACACCGAGAAATTGAAAAAGAGGTTGATAAATAATTTATTAACTAACAATACATTTTTGTCTTAAGTATGTGGTTGTTATACAACATAAATTAATTTTACAATTTTGATTGCAGATTTCCGATTCTATATTGTTAATTGGTCAAAAAGAAGAATTAACATCACTTGAAACTGAATACATAAATGATCCTGTGTACTTAACTAAAATTCAAGATCTAAATAAAAAGTACAAATGCATGAGACGTGCGAGGCCAGATGGTAACTGCTTCTTTAGGTCATTTGCTTTTGCATATTTTGAATATTTGATAGACCATAATGAAGAATATAAGCATTTTAAAGAGCGTGCCCTAAAAAGCAAAGATGAATTGATCTCTTGTGGTTTTACTCAATTCACATTGGAGGATTTTCACGATACAGTAATTTTTAATTTATTATTTATTTAAAATCAATTTCAAACATTCTTTTTTTTGTCTTAGTTTATGGAAGTGGTCAATTTGATTGGTGAAGGCCAACATGATAAATTATATGATACTTTCAATATGCAAGGTTACTCAGATTATGTGGTGGTGTATCTTCGTCTGATAACCTCAGGACAGCTGCAAAAAGATGCAGAGTTTTATAAGCATTTTATTGAAGGGGATCGGACAGTTGTTGAGTTTTGTCACCAGGTAAGATACTAAGATGATGTTATAACTTTTCTCCTTTGCTTAAATTGAAAAAACATATAAAAATATTTTTAGTTTATTGTATTTATGTTTACACAATATTCTAAATAAATAAATAGAAATATTAGAGTACTTAAAGTCAGTATAATAATAATATTTCCCTACCACTTATCAACCAGTGTAATAAAATACTTTGTGAACATATGATTTTAACATTAAATTATTATTATTCGTTCGATACACAAGTGTTCTAATTATCCCATTTTTAATGTTTCGTTGTGAATAAAACTGGTAGGTATAGGAAAAAAATAAGGGGTACTATATTTTCTTTTGTCTTTTTAATTTAATCGCAGTCTTTTTCTTGATAAATTATTTAAACAACTCTATGTTCTGTTTTATTATTCAGGAAGTAGAGCCGATGTTCAAAGAAAGTGATCATATTCATATTATTGCATTGAGTACAGCATTAAATGTCGGAGTTCGTGTAAGATACATGGACAGAGGTGAATCATCTGAAGCTATTGCTCATGATTTTCCTGAAGGATCTCCAGTCTGTGTTCATCTTCTCTATAGGCCAGGCCATTATGATATATTATACAGCAGATAAAGTCAAAAGTATTGAAAAATGAAGTTATTTAATTAATACAATCAAATTTAAAATCATATTTAAAGGGTTGTTTTATTTAAATATTAAAAAGAAAAAGAAATTGATAGTTCCATATCTACATTACACCAACTCATCGAATATCCTAAGCTTGATTGAACTTATTTAATAGATTTTTAATAAAAGTATTGTACACTCATACTATAGATTAACTTGCTCACAAACTATGTGTTTTTTTGTTATAATATTGTCTTGAAAGCATGTACATTTTTATTTCTAATGTTTCTAGGTGATGTGCAATAATAATAATATTTTAATTTTTTTTTTAATAAGTTTATTTAGATAGAGATTATAATTATCAGGCAATTAAACCATTATAAATACAAAACATGTTAAATTACATAATATTAATTAAAATTTAAAACAAATAACTTAGGACAATTATAAGTGCATATTCATACTCTTTAAACTATGGCACTGATTATTTTATTCATTAAAAGATGAATTAATCGATTTGATTTTTTAATTATACTATGGTGTAGATAAAATTCTGAAAATTAATTTGAAAATATTTATATTTATCATTTGTCATATTAAATATGTAGCATAATAATTTAACCAGTTAAATTAAATTCATTAATTTGTTATGATGAGTATATTGTACCACATATTGAATAAAGAGTAAAGACTTTGGAACTATAATCTACTTAATTCAAAAATTAAAATGAATAATAATTTATATTTGTTCAAATGACATTAGAATTTATTATATTGTAAATGATTTAACAACCAAAATAAATATATATTGGTTCAATATAGGTTCTGTTATTTCAATTTAAAATAATACAAATGCAGTATATAATATTATGCTGAATAATATTGCAAATTATAATTACTTATGAAACTTATTTATTTAGATTATGTAAATAGATAAAATGTTCTGTCCTGCTAGAACATAACTCTAAATCCAGCACTAGTTTTACTATATCTTTAAACTTATTTTAATTTTTACCGCCATTTAATATTTTAGTAATTTAGACCTGATTTTAAAATGTTATGTTCAACAACACTGACAACGTTGTTGCCAAATAAAGTATTTTCAGGTTGTGGTTTGGTATCTTTTTAATATCTAAATTTTAGTGTTTTTTTTAAATTTTAAATTAAATTTCACTTAATGTTACATTAAAAAGTAGATTATATATTGTAATTTAAATTCTATTGTTTTTTGATCTCATAGTAACTTGAAACCTAGAGTTTAAAATTGATATTAAGAATCTCAAGTTACAGTTTCAATAATATTATGAAATATAAAAAAGTATAAGCAATAATAAACATTTTTTTTTTTATGATAGGGCTGGGCCGTTTATTTGTAGGAAAATGCTAGGAATTAGGATGTAAGATAATTCAGATTAATAATGAATACTGATGAAAAGTGGGATAATGCTTCTTTTAACCTGGAGAGGTGTTATTTGTCTCTGACATATTAGAAATTATTTTTCTAGTCCTAAAAAGTGAGTTTATTAACATACTTGGTTACATCATAAATGTATTATTATACACCGCCTTAAAGCCCAACTCCTTCCACACTAGTAAATGTGCATTATGCTCCTAGACGAACAAAAAAAGAAATGACAATCAACAAACTATGGATTTTTTAATTTACTTCAAAATTGACTAAACTAATGACAGATTTTTAATATTTGGTAACCAATTATTTTAAGTATTTTACCATAAATAATAATCTAGGTAAAAATAACTTTGATTATGAAGACTAATGGCACATCTTCTAGGTTAAGCTAATCGTGAAGCAGCTCTCTCAACACTAAGTTTGAATTACTTAGATGGCAAAGAATTCAGTTTTGAATTTTTTAGGGTCAAACTTTTTATTATTTTTTAACCACTCCCTTAATAAAAAATTGTTTGATTCATTTTATTTTTAAATTTTGGTCTTATACATTTTTAATAAAAGTAATTAAAAATTTGGTTTTTTCTTGATACAACTTTTCTATAGATCTTTAAACAATTAAAATTTTGATTTTTTAAGATTTTTCCTGCCCTAGCCCAACCACAGATATTACATACCAGCATAAAAATAGGTACTATTAAAGCTATATTTACTATTTATCAATAAGACAAGTATTTTTTTTTCTCATAAAAATGTATTATTTTACAAAACTATAAGTTTGAAATCATTGTTTAAATCAATTTGTTATATTAATTACAACTCATGAATGTGATTAATTGAACAAATATTTCCTATGATTAATGCTCATATACAAATCTATTATCATATTTATTGAATTATATTTGTTTTTCTTTAAAATTACCTTTTTGTAAGGACAAACTAAATAAAAATGTACCATGTACCTGAGAATAATATTGTTTGACTTTAAACAAATAAAAAGGAATAACAGTACTCATTTTTGCTACAATGTGATTCACTACTTTGTAAAAAAAATGTACGTTGTCTTGTCCCCAGCATCCTTTCCTAGGTGAATCGCTTAAATAAGTCTTATAAATAATAAATCAGAATAGCTTATAACAAACAAAAAAATAAGAAAGTTAATTTTGAATAGTAAATATCATGAATAATTCAACTTAATAGGTTTGTTATTGTATTGTTTTATCAATATTTGGTATATAGGATTTTAAAATAATCAATTTTTGCTGCATACATTGTAAAAAGCAGTTGTATAAAAATTTGCGAGAATGTGAATATATAGATACATTGTACATATTACATTCATGACTTGTACTGATTAGTAATTACTATTGACTTTTTGTTCAGGCTGAAGACAGTGACAAATAAGTTATAAAAAAATAAAAAAACAGTGAGTTGGATATTGGATAACTTGTTAGTTCTTTGTACTTGCTTAAAAATGTTAGTACTTCTAGAATTGTATTTTTTTCAAAATACTGAATATTCAATCTTCATTTGATTTTTTTATATACAATATCATTTACTATGAATAATCCTTTATCTTCCAAACATGATTTTTTTTTTTTTATAGCTTTAAGTAAACACAAATAGCTCAATTATTATAAATAAAAAAGTACATTTAAATTAATTAAAGAACATAGATATTAAATAATACAGCCAGCATCCAAAATAAATTTAATAATACTTTTAATAGTGAAGATGCAATTAGTATTGAGAATGGAGTGGAGATTAAAGGGACAGTTAAAAGGTCTAAGAGAATTAATTAAGACTAGACGTTCGGATATCAGAGCAGGGCAATCAAATAATATATGAGATAAATCGCAAATACATCACTCATTTAGATGAAGTGTGCAAAAAGGAGAATCGTTTAAACCCAGTTTGAACGAATGACTTGTGCGTAATCTGTTAAATTGTATAATATCTGATCTAATTGCTGAACCAGATATTAGGAATATTAGGTGTAACCTAACCTAACCTTGATTTAAATATACTTTATTAAAAAATATATATATATGGGTATGCTTCCTGACACTGTAAGTTTTCCAGGATCTGTACAAAGTTTACCGTAAGTCTAATGAATTTAATAATTAATAAATTTAAATGTTTATATTATTGCCAGAGAAAAAAAAAATCATCTTGAGTAATCTTCATAAATAATTCAGATTCGACTGATTTCCAATTGTATTATCATGTCTATTATTAGTGTATTCGTAATTAAAATAATTGACCTCACAATAAATGTGTGCTGGAGAGTATGTACATCATTTACATTTAGAAGGAACCTCAGCAGCCAACATGGGCACAGGGCCGTAGCTCTATTACACAGAAAAGTGTACTGGTGGTTGACTAATATAAATGGTATTAGTATGTACACAATGTACAGAACATTTATACTCGCACTTATAATTATGGTCTATTTTCTTTTTGCTGAAAAGTAAAAATACTGTGGCACATTAATTGTATTGCTAAGAAAATATTGATAGTAGGGATGGGAATAATCAAATTAAATGTTCGATTAATTTTGATGATCAAAATAATTAATAATAGTTAGAGAGACATATATTAAAATCAAATTAATTGAATCTCTCATAGATAATAAAAGAATGCTATAAATGTGTGAACAGCCACAGCCACACACCCCTTCCACAAATTCACTAATCATTCAATTGTTCCCATTACTAATTAATAGTAAGTTTGATATTGTAAAACTAGTCTATTCTTGTTAAAAATAATTTCTAAAATTATTATAAAGACATGGATTCAATCTTTTATTTAAATTGTTTGTTATAAGATGCTGTATACTATAAATCTGGGTCCTTAATTCTCATAAAAACAGCTAAAAACTTGTCTCCGTTATTTCTTGTCACTTTTTTTCCTTCTTCTGAACTCTCATACAGTTTATCAACGACAGGATCATCTTTCTGCAAACAAAATTTGGTTAGATAATTTTATAATGACAAGTGTTAACTGAATAAAATTACCAAGTCATCATCATGAACACGTTTAAAAAGACCATGTTCAGAGAAATGCTGAACCATCCATTCGTGCAAATCTTTCACATCGGTAACTGTATACACTAGTGCCTAAAAGTAATGACAATTGTATTTAAACATAAGAGTTCAAGAAAATTAATGACAGACCATACTTCTTCTGCCAGCACATAAGCGTATTCAGATAATGTAGTGTCATTAATGATTCTCCACTTGTGTTTGGACTTTTTGAAATGGGGGTCTGGATAAAGAAAAAACATCTTTTTTATCTAAAAATAATAATAATTTTAGTACAAAAATTATAATAATATGATCTCAATCAACTGACTTGGCCTTTTTTGAAAAAATTTGGTAAATATTTGATTGCATTAGTTCTTATACATGCTATATTATCATAGGAATTGGGTTTAAAAGCCCTAAGTGCTTTAATCCTCTCGATGACATATTGAGATACTTTTACTCTTATCTCCATGCCGAGGATCATCGAATCCGGAAACATAGGCGACATAGTAACTAAAATATTATTTTTACAAAAATTTGGATAAATATTTTAATTGATTAAGTTGATAAGTACTTACCTAAGAGGCCGCCATAACCACATCCAATATCCAACATTTCAACCCGTTTGTTATAAATGTTGGACTTTGGGTTTGTTACATCAGGGTATAATGTTGACCAATCGTAAGCCTCTGGGCAACTGGGACTGTTTTAAAGAGAAATATTATTAATCATTAATGAAATGATAGTTTTTTCTATTCAAATAATATAATTATATTTACTAATCAAAATCGTGATCGGCAATAGGATTTGAATGAGCTCTTTGCCTGTAGTACTTTTTTTGTGGCAAAGATAACTCTTGCTTGTCCGTCTCATCTTCGTTTAATGGTCGTTTGATGTACTCCATAGTTATTAATCTTATAGAATGTTCTCCAAATGAACGGTAGTTTTAAGTTCTAACTACCGTTAACGCAGGTACTCAACCTACCGTAGTCTGTAGTTGACATAGGACTCTAATTAAATTAAAAAATAAATAATAATATTCATGTCTGTGTCCTGTGAAGACACGTGAAGATAACTTCAAATATTTTTGATAGTTAGCTTCTATACCACTGATAAGAGACCAGTTGATACCAGTTGTTATATTATGTTGCTTCTGTAACATTTATAAGGGGCGGTTTAATAACAGTGTCTTGGAGCCAGAATTCCAGATGATATCAATTCCTAAACCTAAATCTAAACCTAAACCACAGAATAGAATAAATCTATTAAATTTATTATTTAATCTATTAAGTATATATATCTTAGTCCGTGACCTAAACCTTTAATCTGTTATCATAATTAACTATCAACAAATGAAAGTACACCACCAGGAAAAAAAAGATTAATTAGTTGATTTTCCATGAAGATAGTAATGAAATTATTTTTTTATTTATTATATTTATTTAAAAATAATGACCACTTTAAATTTACTTATAAATAGTTGAATTAATTGTTATCATATTCTGTTTAAATAAAAAATCTACAAATCTTAATTCTAAAAATAATTTTTAAAAAAATACAAAATACGAACATTTCTCATGGCCATAAATAGCTCAGAAAGATTCAAAATATCATGAAAATTTTACCAACACATCGAAACTATTAAAATGATTCAAATGTCTATCTACGGTCATTACTTTTTGAATTTCACCAAAAAAAAAAACAATTTTTTTAAAAATCACCATGTTTTTTAGTTTTTTTTGTTTTTCCTAAAGCGTTTGAAAAATAATGGGAATTTTCAATTTTGACTTCCCGAATGCGCCAACCATATATATCACAAGCCAAAATAGTTGTTATATATTCTTGAACGTTGTAGAGAACCACATACTACAACCGATAAATCATAATGACCAATGTGAGTAGAGGTAAGCTATAGTTATGTATATAGAATTTTCATGCAATTTAAATGCATTCATAATAATTTTGTAACTTATAATAGGTAATGAATACATTTAATATTTATTAAACTTTGAAAATTGTATTTTATCTATACAATGTGTGAGTAAATCGGAAAGTTTAGGTAGAAATTAGACCATTTAGTGATATGAATGATATTAGGAGACATATTTAGAAACAATAATTAGTCTATAATAAATAGAAATTTGCGAATTGGGTATCTGCCTATTAATTAATTAATACTAAATAAACTAAACATGCAAAATTAGTTTTTGGCATGTGAAAATAGTGATTATGAATTTTCGGTTTTTCTGTAAGCGATACAAAAAAAACTAATTGGGAACCTTGCGGCTTACTGACTTGCAGCATTCAATTAAGGTTTTTGAATTTTGACCAAGGTACAAAAAATGTTAACAACATAGGTATATACTGAAAACAAAAAAAGTCAACAATATCATACATCTATAAATAGCACAAAAATATCCAAAATATTTCGACGATTTAATCATGTCTAGTAATTACTAATTTCTAATTCGAGTATTTGGAAGAAATTTCAAGCCTTAAGCTTAACAGTAATTAATTACAACAAAACACATGTAGGACCAATAGTCTTTACCTACTAGTTTTACAGTGAAATGTATATAAACTCTAATAAATTAAACATTTTTCGTGACACGTCCTCTTAATGCATATACATTAAACACCATGTCACCATGATTACTAAATGAAGTAAATTAATAATTATCATACCGTATGAAATTGATAGTTATAATTTATAAGTAATAACATACAAATAATTTATACTAGTCATGAAATGCCGACCAATTATAACATTTGTAATAATATTATGTTCGTTTATTTTACATAATGATTTCCTCGATATTCTCGGGCAAGATTATGTACTAATATACTTACACGTAAACAATATAACGAGTATAAAATAGAACTATGATATGAGTACATGCAGGATTGGGTAGTATTTTCGATACAAGTATATGAAGTATCGAGTATCTAGTATCGTGATACATTTTTAGACAATGTATGGAGTATTTCGTAAAATAATTTTGTCGAAAAATACTCGATACTTTTAAAAATTAATTTTATCATAATCCTACGAGAAATAAATAAAATAAATTTTACAATACTTTTGAAAAATTAGTATTTTTAAAAGGAAATAAGAATATGATATGATACCTATCTATATTTTCTTATTATTATTATTTATTCTTGTAATTTAACAATAATTGACTTATCATTATATATTAATACTATTATACTTACTTAATATTTGAAATTTTAAAGTTAAATGCACTTAACGTTTATTGTCGTGTCATATACTATTCGATATAATATCTATAATTTATTTGTATTATTATTTATTCATGTAATTTAACAATTGACTTACTATAATATATGTATACTTAATTAATATTTGAAACTTTAAAGTTAAATGCATTTGTCTAGATTCACAACCTAATTGTGTATGGATAAAATTTAAAAAATCCTATGCGTCGTATGCTATGATTAATTTTTTTCAAATGCATCGCGTATCTTAATATTTAAAATGTAAGTATCGAGTATTGAATATCTAAATACTTAAAATGTAAGTATCTAGTAACTCGATACTCCAAATCCAAGTATATCTAGTATCGCGATATACTGATTTTTAAGTATCTTGCATTCTTGCCCATCCCTGCATGAGTACCTACATGACATTATGTTTATAACAATAATTAATAAGTACCTATATAATCTGTTCATGGATAAATGTATTAAATAGTTTTACATAACCCGGTGGTATGAGATAACTATACGTATGTGTAGAAAATAGAGATATATAATCGTATATTCGTATATTACAGTATCTGACCCAAAACTATCGATTTTTTTTATTAATGATACCCAATATTATATTAACTTTTATAGAAAACGAGTAAAATTAATACAATTTGCTAATATAGTTTTGCAAGCGATGAAAATATTAGCTAACACATAAAATATGAGTGTGAAATGTTTAATTCTTATTTCGTATTATACCTATCGCGTAGACGCGTAGTCTTATAAATATAGTGAAAGTAGGCGTATAGACCATAATAATATTGTACTAGAGCCCGAAGGTTTCACGATCATATTGTACTTAACTGCTCAAGTAATAGTGACACGAGAACGAGAGCAACGGGTATTGGTAACAAAGTATAATAATTACAGTTTTAAAATCATATCTGTATGATAGACTTAGGTACACGGTTGCATAGATCATAGATCATATTATCTGATATCTGAAAACTGAAGGCAACGCATATCTATTACACATCAATATATTGTATGTAAGCACTCGCTTAACCTTCACTTTCCGAGGATTACTCCATTACGAGTATTTTACTCTATGCACCTCGCGGTCACGCAGTTCTCGTTTAAATCGAAATTTAAACAATAAGCCAGTATAGAATTTAATGATAATAGGTATATGCATATAATGCTGTAAGGAAAACGTGATATATTTAATCGTTTATTTTTCTCCACTATTTTTACAACGAAATTAAAATTAACTACATTATATGTGCTTTATATATGCGTATAAATAACATAATATGAACCATGGAAATATCGAATATCTTTATTGTATTTTACTTGCTGATCCTGCAGGACGTTGCCCGTGACATATTAAAAGGCCGTGAATTACCCTTTCTTGAACTCCATTAATTGTTAACTGCACAGATTTTTAATCTAGTAGTTTTGGGTTGTTTTGACGAAATATAAAATCACAAGTCTAAAATAATATACAATTGTAATAGGTACATATTTTATTTTCTGTAACCAATGCTAGCAATTTTATTAACAAAAAAAGGTGAGTAATTGTAGGGTAATGGAGTTTCCACACCCAAAAGTAGGTACTTATTATTAAGTACCTAGAAAATTGTATCGAAAGTGTGCCGAAATTCGCAAAATTGTTGTCACTATAGCATAATATAATGTGCACCATGCGCCGTGATGAAAATACGTTGAGGGTCTGTATGGTATAGGTGTCCATACTGAAATGATTCTGCACAGCCGGCATTCGCGTAAGTACGTGTTTTACCAGACCGAAAGCCTGGCCGATCAAGCGCTGGAACGTAATTGGGTAAAATGTCAAGTCTGCCACACGGTTAATATTTTTTTAATTTTAACAAAACGAATAAAATCATTAGAGTAAAAATCGTTATTATTCATTTAAATATCCAATTTTTTCTAAACGTGAAATGTCCATTTAAAATATCTATATAGTATATACATATCATAAACGTTAAACTACCCAAAAGACCGTGATTTGTAGCCCTATGCGAAAAGAAGTTTGAGTAAAAGAGTCAGAGGCAAAAAAAGTCCGTGTTGAAAAAGTCCGGTACATATAGTTAGCCAGTTAGGTAAAAGGAAAAATATGATGTGATGACTAATGAGTATATTTAATCTATGGTAGTATGTACATGTACTTGTATGTTTACAGTTCGTTTTTCTGCGGTAATTGTTTTGGTTACGCGGGAATGCCTCGCTCAGACGACTCAGAATTACTGTATAATACAATACGGTAATTTCACATTCAGTGTCTACCTATTTACCGCTCACACAAAAAGATTTACCGTGTACACTAGGTTGGATTTAAAATTTTTTTTTCAACCTTACTAAATTAATATTTCAAGTAAAAACACAAATTATCAAATATATTTTTTTTATTGTTATAAATTATATCTAAATTAAATTAACACAAGTTTTCTTACTTATATAGTAAAAGCCAAATGGTATACATATTCTACGACACGATCATGAATTTATAAACAATAAGCATATGCAGTTACACCTGTAAAGGATTTCGATGCTTCAATTTCCAATTGAACATCCACAGCCTCATCTGCAGTGAAGCATTGGAATCCTTTACAGGTGTAAAACTGCGACACCCAAGCCGTTCGGGCTTGAAGGCAAAAATACCGCAGGGTGGCCTGTGGGCCCTAAGATGGCCCTAACAATGTATTTTTGTTTGAACATATGAAACGTTTCGATGATAGCACCACCGAATAGAACAATGGTAAGACACATATTTTCTTTTATCGGAACATCTAACTAATTATTTTTCAAGGCATTATTTAATAAGTATATCGTATAATATAGGTACCCGATAACATATCCAATATTTTTCCATTGTTTCATTAAAAAAGTAAATGATATCGTTGTTGTTTCTCTCACATGTATTGTAGCAGAAGTATTGCGAGAATAGGTGCAAATAGCGTTTGAGATTTGGGGAGAGGGGCTGAAATCTTATTACATACAGCCTAATCTACAATTTCCAGTTTTCCAAGGTAAATGTAGGAACTACCTAAGTAACTAGGACCTAGCTATAATTTTAGTCCTAGATGGACAGATACTAGGCAGTGGCGTATTTAGGGGGGTCATGGGAGGGGGGAAATTGCCCCGGACAGCATTTTTTTGAGGGCAACAATCTTACACATGTGCAGTAGTAAGTTTTTTTATGTGTGAGAATAATTTCCACTACAAAAAAACTGGTAGGGGAAAGAAGTCATTAAAACAAATGGGTGCCCCGGACAGTATAAAATCCTAAATAGGTACCAGGGATCAGGATACTAACACTTACCTACATAGTTTCAAGCAAACAGCTAATTTTACCAAAGTTAAAATAGTTTACAAGTAGGTACAAAATTATTTAACGCTGTACAATAAAATTAATCTCATTCTTAGTAAACTTGACGGCATTTAATATATTTTACAACTTTAGCTAACTTTAAAATACAATCTAACAAGTTAGTTTAATTCTATTTCCAGTTAACTAAGATTATTTGGTAAGCATTGTTTTCATCATGTATTGTGTAATAACTATAATGTTTGTATATAGATATAGTCCAGTAGTCTAGCTATAATACTTCTATACCTATGCTCTAAACATGCACTACAATAATATATATAGCACGTCACGCGTTATATAATAATATGGTATAAAATTATATTTCATCCACATAATACCATACAATATTAACATGGGCGTATGGCATATATATTATAAACCTGGTTAGAAGTGTTCGATTCACACGCACGACATCCCGACCCCCGGCAAACGTGCATATACACACTAAACCAAATAATATATGTACTTATATAATATTATTTGAACAAATTAAATAGGTAGGTAAATATAATATTATAATAGTATGTAACAACAATCGCTGAAGGAAAAAAACCCGTACATGGTCATACGACAAACACACACACATGCAAACTCATATTATTATACACCTTTTTTTACAGAGGCCGATACCAGTGTTTACATCACGCGTGTCGCAAGACCTTCTCGCGACTGCAGCGGCAGAATAGCGACGGACCAGTCTTGGGTTAGGAGGTGCACATAATGATATAATATACGAACGTCTCTCCGCTGGAACCGTGACTTGACGATCGCACATGGACGCAGTCGTGTCCAGCCGTTTTTCGCGTACACACCGAGAACATAAATTATAGTATAATAATATTATAATCGAACGCCACAACAAAAAATCTACAGCAGGATACAATTTGACTCGAATACCGTACGTACTTCTGGCTATACATTACCACATCTTAATAAATAATAATAATAATAATCATAATAATACACTTTTTAAGTAAACGAATATTTTGAACACTGTGCGGAAATAAAATGTCTTTCAAAACAATAATCGCCGCCGTAGCGGTAGTCGTGATGTGCTGCAACACTGCCAACGGAGCTCTGAAACAGGTAAAACGCACATCGATACCTATACAATATATATCCTATTATCTTATATTCAGTATACTAGCTTTCAGTAATTAGGTAATTAATCATTTTATTTTATTATATCACTTGGATACAAATATACAATATATCGGTATGATTATATGTTTTTTAAGCTCAAAGTTGAATTTCAGTACTTATAGCTTATATACCTACCAAGAACAACTGCGGAAAAAGCCAAAAGATACGATTCCCCGTGTGGCATGTATATAGTACAAAAGCATTACGGGTAAGATATATCGGTCAGCCATTTTCTACGGTACTTCGATCAGATTGCCCTTTATATGCAGATACCTACAGTATGTCACTATGTCAGTACCCATGGATAATCTGCATAGTATTATACTGATATGGTATAACCTCTTAACTCAACAGATATTATTCGATGAATATACTAAAATTTTTAAAGTGAGATTCAGCTGACAACGCCGTAAAACTCCAAAGAGGACTGAGAAAACTCATCTGTAATTGTAATTGCGCATCACACAATTTGTTGATGCGGCGTGTGAATAAAAATAACATTATATACAGTAATACGAGTTTCTAATTTCTATACTATGTACTGATGGTGTTATTATTTTTCTTCGCACAGAGACAAGCGTATTCCGGCTATTCCGACGGATACACACAAAACCACAAAGACGAGAGTCACCAAGATCTGAGCAAAGTTCCGGGCACACCGGGAGTAGACTACCCAATTTACCACGCTGTGCCGGAGACGAGTTTCAATTGTAAAGACGTACCGTACGCACCCGGCATGTACGCCAACGTGGAGACCGGATGTCAGGTACAGTGGCTCATTAACTATAAAAATTTACGGAAACATTCAAACATATCTGACTTAATATACAACCAGTGACGACTTACGACTATGGAATAGATCAAACGTACTTCTAATTTAAATTACAGAGAGATCAACCAAGTATACAATTTACAGACGGATATATAATACGCGTTATGTAATCAATACCTTGTAGGGTCGTGCTCACAATTGCATGTAATAATTTCGATATAAAATAGTCATTGAATTTCCAATGAGTAGTAGTAACAGTAGGTTACTTATTATTAGTGATGGGAATAATCGAATGATTTCGATAATCGAGTAATTAGTAATCGAGATATTACTATAATCGAGATATTCACTCGATTAAAATAATCGAAATATTATTTCGTCATGGTCGAGATATTCATTCGATTAAAATAATCAAAACATTAAACATTATTGATTAAAAATCAACCAATATTCAACTTATTAATACAAAATTAAAAACATGGTTAATACGAATTCATTATTACACTTATTTTTTTTTTTTTTTTATTGATCAAGAAAAAAACTCGGCAGTTACATGGCCATTAGTTACAGTTATGGTATGGTTACAGGATTTAAGATTTTAACAGCATTTTTTCTTTTTTAAGATATTACAATATTAGAGATATTAATATGGTTTCTAAGCATTAACTGATGAGTAGAATAAAATAATACTCGAATTACTAGTATTTTATTAGTAACTAGTAACTACTAATAAATAGTAATTACTGTTATCATTCGATTATTTTTCCTAATAATCGAGTTACTCGATAAATACCAATAATCGAGTTACTCGATTATTTTCTCTCGATTATTCCCATCACTACTTATTATAATGAATTTGTTTAAACTAATAGGTAATGCTTATTTCATTGCAAAATTGTCGAAAACCTGTTTTTATGAAGACGTCATTCCATGAAACTTACTTCATTCTTATATGCAAACTGCAGTAATACTCGAAGGTACTATATGTATTCGATATGCGAAAATTACATTTGACCCACATTTAATAGACAACCGCATCACAATAGGCAATATCATTTTATTATGATAAAATATAAATTTATTCATATTGGGTAATTGGCATTTGGCAAGAGAGATAGTCCTGTAGAGAAATAATAGAAATACAAATTTTTATCGTCACGCTTTGCCCTATTGATATTTTTATGATAATAAAATAAGAGAACGTCTTCTAAACACTAAAACTAAAAGAATATTATAACAAATTAACCTCGAAATAATCGTATTTTTTTCCTCTTAACTGGTAATGATCAAATATTCTCCTTGGTTATGTTTAAATATAGATTTTATACAATCATACTTAGTATATGAATAATATATTATTATTTATAAGTAAAAAAATTAATTTAAAATAATGACTAAACAAATTCGACTTAACATAATAAGTATTATTATTATAATTATAGCTAAATTTAGTCACTAATGTTACATTAGTAATGTACATGAGTTGTACACTTGTAGGTACGTATGACGTTACATCTATATTATCCGTCAACATATAATCTATATTAACATCTATTCTATCTACTTAAAACGCTGATAATAATCATCATACACTACTTATACCTACTACCTACTACCTAGCTGTACTTTTTCATTTGTGCCATAATAGTCGTAACAGGTTATATTATTTAAGTGAAATTTCACCTTTCTTTAGACTTAAGTCCAAAATCTATTATCTATATGTAAGTAGCAAGTAGGTACCTATTAATTGTTATATGCTATTAATAGGTATATGTGTAATCTGTCCTGTCGTCAATTATAGTTTTTCGATGATAATTTATTAGAATTATTTAAAATGTATATAACACAATACTAAAATATCAATAACTTATAAGTATTGATGCTAGTTGTATTAATTATAGGTATAATTAAGTAGGTATATTTAATCAATGGTATTTATGATACAGTAAATGCAAAAACATATTAAAAGTTAGACCAAAGGGCATTTTTTTGCACTATGAAAAATAAATTTAAAAACTAAAATTATCTATCTATATCATCTATATTTTTGAAATCAATGTTTCCGAATTGCATACAAAAATCGTTGTCTACGTAGAATTGTGTGTGCAGTTGGACACAGAGCATTTTTTAGCGACAAAACTGAGTTGCGTAAACGGGTTTTTTGCTATCTAACTGATCTGCGCGAAATACGAAAGACATATCTTATATACAGTAAACACTTGTAGGGAGTAACAAATAAAATTAGATAAATAGAATAAATATAGAATGTTGAAAAATTTAAAATTTAAAAAATACAAGTGCCTATCTGTAGATATACAGTAGATATTGTAGCGGGATATCCTCCCGAACAGCCACTATTACTATTATTATTATTATTATTATTATTATTATCGGACGCCTAGCCGTTAAGTAGTAGCATTGATATCAATGGTAGTAGTACTGTAGTAGTCTAGCACTCTAGCGACATCCCGGCGATGTTGTAGCCTGTAGGCCGTGGTGATCGTCGCTCGTTATATTCTTTTTTGTATCATTAATTGTGTATTTATGCCAGGTGGTCCCGATAGTGGCGGGATACTGGTGAAGTGTTGAATTTATTTATATTCATTAATATACGTGTAATGTCGTTTTTAGTAATATGCAATAAATTATAAATGTTAACTCGCATAACTGTACTAATAAATTTGTTCTTGATTTAAGTGCCCTCTGACCTACAGCCGCGTCCAGACCAAAGAAATATTTGCCGAAAACACATGTTTTCGACATTGTCGTCGACAAACTTTTGTTATCGGCCGTACAATATACAAGTATACAGTTTATTTGTGCATCCAATCTTTGTTTGTCGCATAATTGATTTGGATGCTAACTTTTATTTAAGAGGACGCTATACCCGCATGTGTGGTCTCCGTCTTACAAATGTAAAACATAGCAAAAACTGTTTCGCGCCGCGTTAAAGAACCGAGAAGCCTGCAGTTATAATATAGGAGAATTTTAACTGTGTCGTAGCATTTTTATTTTTTCGATAGGATCAATGTATCAAAAGTTATTTAAGTTTTGAAAACGTTCACCTTAAAAATCGGTCGTCTGTTCAGACTTTTAAGGACGCAATTCGAGCCTGTCATGCTAAATACACTCACGCAACTTGGATCTGTCGCAATACAACTGCACGCAAAATTCGGATGCAAGCATGCAGCTCTCAAACAGTTATACTGTTTGATTATATTTTAAGTGTATATGTTAAATAAAACATTAGAACATAAGCAAGATTATTACGATAAATATAAGTATAATTTAGGTATTAGTATTGCCCTATTGAGTATTGATATTATTATTATTTTTAATAATAATATAAGAGAACGTATTCTTAGGCAGGGGCGCAGGGCGTACAACAATGCAGAGAAAAAACTGCAATGATCTTCTGCATGCTCATTGTAATAACGTAGCCTCTCTCGCATTAATTTGATGTGCATCTGGTCTAGGTAGGTACCGAAAAGAAAAGTATATTTAAGCAATTTTACTTCAAAATAATTGTATCATCATATGTTTTCTCCAAATCAATGATGATCAAATACCTATTCAATAGGTATTCTCCTCTGTTGGAGTTTAAATATCGACTTCATACAATCATACACGGGATATGAATACATTTTAAGTAAAAATATTAATTTGAGCCAATGACGAAGGACCCACCTATAATTATTGTCATGGTTCAATGTGTTAGGTGTTATTTGGATGCACGCTGCACTGCTTAGTGCTTAAATACCTAGTTAAATGGATATTGTATTATTGTCTAATATATCAATATTATTATTATAATTTAATAATATACCATAAGTCATTACTATTTACTTAAATTACTTTTGAAAGTTTATACTACCAATACTTGTACAGTTGTACGAGTATACGTAGGTACCGAATATGCGGCCATCTCCATCTTACCATTTTAGATTTCAGGATAAATATATACAATGGTATATATAAATTTATAAAATATTAGGTATATATCCATTATTATTTACGGACAATCGCAGAAGCATAAATAAAAACATTGTCATTTATGAATTATTATCAAACATTAATAATAATTATAGCGAATGCATTATTCAGTTTTTCAGATATCAGACTAATAGGTTACATTTTATATAATATTATTTTAGGCTTATCATATCTGTCACGACGGTCGTGAAGGTCATCAAGGAGCGTCTTTCTTGTGCTCCAACGGAACTTTGTTCAATCAAAAGGAATTCACCTGCGATTGGTGGTACAACGTAGACTGTAGCAAGGCGACGTATTATTACGAGTGAGCATAATATTTTCTTCACTTTTCATCAACGATTTCTTCGAAAATATTTAATTTACTCCTATTAATTTCACCGAAGCCAATGAATGAGCTTTATATAATTTATTTTTAAACGTTTAGACTTAACACGGACGCAACGAAAAATCCATTCGTCCCAAAACCAAAGGCCCCCGAGGAACCGTACAAGCAACCATACGACAATAATTATTACCAGAGCCCTAAGTATTATTTGTAAATGTATTTATTATATATATTTGTTTATTTTTTTTTTATGTAAATAAGGTGTAAATTGTTTATACATACTTATAAATTTTACAATAATAATAAAATATAAATATATTTATTTATTTAATTATTATGATATTATATCCAGTCACCAGTGTTATGGTTGCCGTCTTCAGTAGTCAATGGCATTCGATATTACTAAAAATTGTACATTCATATTATTTTTATTGTACCATATTAATATATTAAATTAATAATAAAGCTTCAGTGGCACAAAAAGTGCACATCAGTTGCCTCGATCACATACAATGTCCATTGGAAATGAACATATATGTTATTATATTGTAATGGCGAAACTAATCTATGGTTAAATTACTATCAGTATTAAAACTACATAAACACATCATTTATTCTTTTTGTATTGTTTGAATATCAGACGAATATTTTTAATTAACCTAGCTCTTATAGTTAACTTGTACAAATGTTAAATTTCGAGAAATGCAACCGTTGCATTTTAAGAAAAATGTTATAGTTGTTAAGCTTAGAATTTGTTGTTTTTGATATATGACTAGGTACTATAGGTACATAGGCTGTGAAAAATATTCTAATTATTTTCTTAACATTTATCACTTTGGTATGCATTGAATATTTAAGCCAGTAGTCGATTATTGATCTTTTCAGTCTTTTTTTTTATATGCACGGCATTTGTCGTATTAGTTGATATCACAGCATTATTACATATGCCCTATGGGCATCAAATTTTAGTTTTCCTGTAAATGATTAAAAAAATAAATTCCTAATCATACTTAATTAATTCAGGGGCATCATTTGGGGGGAGGGGGGGCAGGGTGTGCAACGGAACCACCAACTTAAAAAATGTTAGCAATTGGCCCGCCATTATTACTCCAATGCGCCCTCGTAATTAACTTATACATTATGATTTATAAATTCATATAATATAGGTAATATAAATAAAATGTATATATTTTTGATTAATCAGGTTTATTGATTATACCTTATTTGCCGTTTATTTTCAAATAATAATGAAATGGCTTTAGCGGATTGCTTTAATTGTTTATAAACTTTAAATCCTTTGAATTTCTAGCTATTTAAAAGTTGCATTAGTCCAGGGGCGGACTGACACCCTTTCGGTCCGCTATTATTGAAAACAAATCGGCCCAAGTTAGGGGGGAGGCATCAACCCTAGAATTTTTATAATATGAAAAATTAAATGGAGGGCTCTGCCCCCCACACCACTAAAACAGGTTAAAATAATTGTTAATAAATACAAATGTAAATAAATAAATATTTTATTTTATTATTATGAGGGCTCGTAAGTTCATGCCCTAAAAACGCCTAAATAAGCATGCATTTATGCACTCAAAATTGGCAAATTATGCATTAAAAAGTTAAAAAATATGCATTTATATGCTCTAAATATCTAAGATTATGCACTTAAAAAAATTATAAACAATTTTTGAAGTAACATAAAAATAAGCTATTTTTTATTTTTTTTATTTCGCAATGAAAATAAAAAATTTTAAATACTATTCTTGAGCCTTCATGAACTACGTCTTTGTCAGTAATTTATTTTATGAATGCATTTTTTTCTCGTCAAATGTTGATTCTTTCATAGTATTTCCATAAAAAAATGCATATTGATATAAATACATAATAATATGAATAGGCATATCAAAATCATATATAATAAACCCGATAAAATAAAAATTTGCATAAATATGCCAAATAGGCAAAAAACCTCCTAATAGTCTAAATATGCAAAGTAAGACTTCACATGTTTAATTGTGGTACCTTGAAATGGATTTATATGTCATCTGACATTAAATACAACTTAACAAGATTTATATGCAAATGCATGAACTTACAAACCCTGATTATTATAGTGTGTGTAATAATACGAATAATCTAAATCATAAAAAAATGTGATGCAGTAAATATTAAATTATTAAAATATATTATTTTAGTTACAAATTCAAGTTTTTAATTTTCTTATAATAAAGTTAAAGAATTTATTTGGGTAACATAATAATAATTTAAGAGTTCGCTCAGTATTGGGATTTTATTTTTAATAGAACATTTGATAAAGCAATACCTATAAAAGACAACTAAGAGAATCAAATGGTAAAATAGGTAGACCTTATATAAGTATTTATTCAAGGTATTACTGAAAATGCTCATTCACTAGATGCGTAACTTGTTGGAACAGAAAGATAAATGTAGCATTTTACATAAATTTGGAAAAACAGATTTTTGAACTTTACTCGTTTGCCATTTTAAATTGCCCTGATGATTGTTATATGATAAATTTAAATGATTAATAATTGATTATTGAACTAATGTTTCTGATTTTAATTCTGTTCCATTTATATTATATTTATTAAACCCTAAAAACATAAGAAAACAAAATTTACTAATTTATAACAATAATAATAATAATGACATTGACCAGAATACAATTTATCAGATACAATCACCCAACTGTTGTGGCATTGTACTTATAAAGTAAAAATGTAATTGTTAGTAAAAACTTTATGACTTTATACATTGCTCATCACATACAAAATGGTCTTTGAGTATAATATTTAAAAATTCCAAAAATTTGAATTTGAATAATTCATTGTTAAAGAGAAAAATTGGAGTGAGCATGCTTGCCCTGTGCTTGCTGAATCACCTTTTATAAGAGAATTAATGGTATGAAAAATTGACAAACAAACAATTAAATGAACTACAAATAAATTATATTCATAAAATCATAAATACAAAAAACATCAGATGTATGATAACATGATAATTTAATAGAAATTGTGTATTGCATTAAAAATGATTAACTTTTTTAAATAAACAAAAAAATATTTAATAATAGATATATTCAAAAATTGTGAAATAAAATATTAAACTTAAAAAAAATTACTCATTAAAGAAATATTTTATTTTACCAACATAATTATTATTAGGTTAAAGTTTAAATTAATTATAATACAAGAAGTACACTAGGTAAAAATGTTTTCATCATAGACACTTAATTAAAAGATCTTTGATTTGTGTTAATTACGCTGGTCTAATTATTTTAGTGAAACCATATTTTATGTTTTTGAAAATGTAAATAAAAGGAAAATATGTTTACAACAGTAGTTAACCAAAAATAAATTAATCAATTAAAATCTTATTTTTTAATTTAAAAAATAAATCAAAATTTAACAACATACTGAATATAATAATCACATTGCGTTTTTGGTGTATTAGTCATTATTTTTAAAACTAAGACATTAATGTCTGAAATAGGATGTATAGTTTTGTTTAACAAATCCGAGAATGAATGGTAAAACATTGGATGTTGAGAGTTTTCATATATCCCTTCTCGTTTTCTTGTATAACGTCTATAGTCACAGTTAAATTTCAATGCAGTATTTAAATCATCTTTATGGACTCCATGAAAAACAGTTGTCTGCAAATAAATGTTCAATCAAGAACAATACTAGGTACAATAATATAACTGTATACTTAGTAAGACAATAATAAATTACTATTAAGATTTTGTTTTCCCTTACAAGCATGCAGTTCATGCTTTACAATAGGTTTTATTAAAATGCCTGTTCTACTTCAACCACTCATTTCAATTCCCGACCACAATATAAATTGCAAATATATAAAAATATACAACTGATAGGTCTCTACCTCTATACTGTATAAATTAAAATCTGGTAGTGCAAGTACAGATGCAAACACCAAGGTGAACTTTCCCATACTGGTATGGACAAACAAATTTCTTGATATTTAACCGAAATTCAGTTTTACCAAAATGCATTGGAAATATATAATTTATTAAATATAAAATAAATAATACCACTAACAAACCTACTACTGAGGTAGGCACCTAATACAATATTAATACTACAATATACTAGGTGCATTTGGTGATATCCCTAATATCCCGAGTATTATCCAAAAAACACACCATGGATCGATCAGGGGGGGGGGCTTAGCTCTACTCTCAAGACCTACTACTAGAACTAGATAATACCATTGATTATAATATAATGAATACTGTATTGCATTGTAGCAAAACTGTAACAATCTCCTCGCCCCCCAGATCATTGCTTTGGATCTGTGAGTGGACTCCAAAGACCCACACAACACAGTACGAAGCACACCCAGTAGTTGGTGGGGGGGCATGGATTCCCCCCATGGAATATTTTACTGGTGATGTTTTCATCACGGTTATAGCCTATACAGCCCATATAGGTAATACAATGATATAGTATTTAAACAGCCCCCCTCCCCCACCTCGATTGATCTAAAGCTACGTCACTGAGCACAACTATGAATGCCGGTAGTTTTTGTACAATTTACTTACTTCATAAGCCGAATTTATCATCTCACGGCGTAACATGTATCTTCCGTATTGGAACGGGTTCTGCACCCTTTTAATTTGACTTATGTTTGCTCCGTAGAACATAGTTTCGACCGACTGGTATTCACCGGCGTTTCTCGTCCTGGATAACGTGCGCAACAGATGGCTCGATGTGTAAGCGACATCGGTGTCCCAGTCGTCAGGCAAATGCTTTAGGACGAACGACAACATCGACCCGTCCATATTCGCGACTGAATAGTAAATACTAAATGGCTTAATGGCGTGTCAAATAATATTAGCTATTGCGTTTAAGGAAATCGAACTTCGTCGGTTAGGTGCCTGACGATCGACGGAACGATCTCGGCAGCGTCGCAGATCGGCGCGGCGCAACGACTCTGATTGGCGTTTGGCGATCACCGACGAGTGCCGACAAAAACATAAATATTGAAAGACTTGAATACCGAACAGCGGTGGGGACGGGGACGGGACGCCGATTATTGGTGCAGGTCGACAACGCGGACATCGCGAACTCGTGGCCCAAAGCAAATGTATAAATATCTATTTTCAATTTAGTCTGGTAAACACAGTCATTGAATCATATTATTTTATCCTGATTATCATAACGTCTTCGTTTGGGGAAAAACCGCGACACATAAACTGTTTTTGAATAATTCAATTATTGATTGTGTGTCTTGTAGTTTTATATACCATTGCCGCACGCGGAATGCGTATGGTATATTTATGAGTTTATGACTTATGTAATTGTGTTGACAATGTCACAAAATATAACAATAGTTATAATACGGTAAACGTCATACTGTTGCCACTTGCCCACCGTCTCACAAACACAATGATATACAACATGTCGAATTTGCGTTCAGCACTCACTCCAGCAGAATCTGTTTAGGGTTGCACAACTTTATGTATTAGTATCATGAACTAAGATATATCTTAGTTCATGATTAGAATTTAGAGTGAATACTGAATAGGTCAACTATTGTCGAATTTAAAGGTAAGAACGTATCTTGGACATCTCGTAAACTTTCATTAATATGTTAATGGGTATTAAAGCTATAGCTATCGTGAAACTCGGTGGCCCATGAGACACACGCCACGAGTACGTACCGAAGGTGTAGTCAAGGTCGTTAGAATTATAAATGTCACACTTGTTGGTCGGTAATGAATCAAAGTTAGAGGAGGTGTATCGTGATTAGGTGAGGGCCGAGGAGTCAAGGGGTGGGTTCTTATAAGAATAAGAGAAGCTACTACTGGTCCGAAAATTGGTGGTTGTGCTGTGTACTTGTGGTGTATCTACGATAGTATAGTACTTACTGGCTACTATCTGCCATGGGTCAGCTGAACCAACATGAAAATTAATCTAAATCGTATAATTATCAGTCGTGTAAAACACAATGCACGTAACAATATATCGAAAAGGTAGGCTTGTAGGTGAGGTACCTACAAATTACTTTTTAATCTGCAACTCTTGTGTAATAATTGGGGCCCGTATTTGAATTCCCTAAATAATATCTAAAAATCAGTGGCGGCTCGTGCTATGGGGTACACGGGCACGTGCCCCATCTACAAAACTAAAAGACAGAAGAAAAAAGTATATTAAATTTAAAATTGAGTTGGTGTTTATTCCAACAAAAAAATAGGTGGTTTATTATTTGAAAATATTACGGAAAAAAAAATGTTATCAAATATTTGCGTACAATACCCACATACTATATCATACGGGCTGTGCCCGCCCGATCAACAGACAACGGTACTAGATTTCTCCCACTTATCGACACCAATTAATACGGCGTTGCCGGGCCCCGGGATTCTATTTTTATTATGATTTAAGATATTTTGTCGGTTTTATCGTCTACTTACTGATTAACTGTATAGTGTGTACTGTTTAGTTATAATAATTATTTATTTATAAACCATAATTTTCTCTTTATAATATTTGTTGTACAAGACGTATTATAAAAGGTTATATATAATAAAAAAGAATTTTATTTTATTTAAAAAATCAACAGGAATTGGTGGTAAGTTCAAAGTTATGATAATGGGAAATGAGGGAATTATTTGTTCCCCACCTTCCATGAACCTCGCTAATCACTGCTCAAAGTGCTCTAAAAAATGGCATAACATTCCATATTAACTGCAATAATACCCTTAAAAAATGACCCAATAGTTTTTTGAACAATTCTTGATCAAACAATAATATGAACTTGACAAAATTAACTCGTAAACGACGTAAACTATTGGCAATAGCCGATAAAAATCTTATCAATTTTTAGGCGGGCGGGGTATAGACGGTATAGTCTACATACAGGTTCGTGGAAAAATAACATATAGGTACATTATACATTATACACAGCGTTCCTGTTACAGCTTATCACTTTGAACTTTCTATCGCCAATTTTACTACCTATGTTACATCAACTGAGTACTGACTTATTAGTTGTTAGTGTTGTTACTTACTTACCACAGATAAATATGGTAAATATAAGTAAATATGTTGTGCCTGTACCTCCTACCAACTATTGTAGGTAGATAAAGTCGTTATTGACGGGCGACGTTTTGTTATAGGTATATCCGCTATCGGATATATAGGTACCGTTATTCGTCAAAAGAACGATCGCAGGGTGATGTCATCAGACATTCGTTACGTTACACTAAATAATATTCTCGAATTTATTAATTATTTGAATTATAAATCGTAAGAATGGAGTTCACGACAAGCACAAGAGGGAAGAAAATGGTTGTTAAAAATGGCAGTAAGAATACTTTGGCGTGTCGCGTAAACATCTTCTAAAAATGTTGAACGGTGGCGTTGTTCAAATAAAATATGTACAGCAAAAATGTTAATTCAATATGGAAAAATTATTAAAAAGCATGGTATGTAGCAAACATTAATTTTTATTTTTATAAAATTTGTTTTTTTTATTTTTTTTATTTTTTATAATAATTATACAATCTATACTTTATAGCATAATAAGTATAAGTGACAAGTGACAAAACAAAACATGATAAGCGTGATTAAGAAGTCGCCCACTAGTGACTCTTTGCGTGATGGAAGATTGGGAGGAAAGGAATAGAATTTTTATTTTTTAATTATTATTATTATTATTATTATTATTATTTTTTTTTTTTAAAGAGAGAGAGAGAGAGAGAGAGAGAGTGAGGGGGAGTGATTAAAGATTATAGTAAACGATCTCTGCTCCATCTCCTTTTCAGTCGACGGCGAGGATTATCGGGAAGTGTTAAGGTATTTAGGTTCCTAATTAGAGGGTTGATATGGTTTGCCAGACGTGAGAAGAATCGCTTGTAATATATGTATAACATAAAATGTGTTAAATGTAATATAAAATTACAATAAATTTACCTACGTAATATATAAAACAAATTAACTGTTTTCGCAATATTAAAATTTTTATTTTTTTTTTTTTCGTATTACTCTGATAATATTAACAAAATTCACTTAAATTATACGTTATCAAATCATAAATGATTTTAATTTTAATTTTATAGACTCGCATAATCACGAACAATGTACAACTATTGCAAGACAAAATGTAACGACAGCATGCAGCGTTGGCTGTCGAAGACATAAGTAGATTATTTAATAGATAACTGCATTGGAGAAAATGCCAATTTCCCTCCAAACATTTGGGCAGCGTTTGCAGCTGATTTAACTAAAACCACCAATAACAATATACCTTTTTTTATTTTGGAGCAAATGGGTAATCCCCATATATAGTATAGGTACGTCGTACGCAAGGTGTATCAATAGATTGCCTTGACGTCAAGGTACGAGCAAATATTTTGAAGAATCAATTAAGTTTAATCTAAAAATGTTTATGATGTATTATGCATAAATAAATATGCACTATAAATGAACAAAATTACCTAAACTATTACAAAAAGGCCTAAAAATACAAAAAATTCAAAATAAAAGTTTAAGTTTTCAATTCTCTGGTGTAAAAAGCGGATTTTGTATTCGAAAACTATTTTCCCAAAAAGTAATACACATAGCATTCAAATCCAGGACTAATTATCATATTTTTTTTTTTAATTTGAATATGTTTTTTCATAACAGAATATAAGTCTTTTAAGTTCAAAATAAGTGCAATTATATATGTTATGAATTGTATAAGTACATAGTGCTTGATTTGGAAAAAAAATAGAAAGGGGACTCAGCAGATATTTGATGAACAAGCGTTCCACACAAAATTAACCGTCACATTATCGTGGGGGACAAAGCCCCCCACACCCCTCTCCATCCACCCATAATCCCAAGAAAATAAATTTACTATACAAACATATATTAAAAGTTAAAAGAAAAACACACTTGTTTGTTAATTATTTTTTTAAAACATTAAATTATATACAATCAATTAATAATTCTACATAATACTACATATTGAATAAGGTCCATAAATGTTCATACGATTTATCTTCAGTTTTAAAAGATCTTTTAGGACAATTTACTTCATCTGCATTTCTTCTGCCACTTTTAATCCAGCTCTCAACATAATGATCTGGTTTGAACAACTGAATGGGAGGTCCGATGCAGTTAAGGAAAAGCAATGAAGATATATGCCCTGTAGTCAAAGCATTTCTTTTTGATGTTACTATGTTGTCCATCGCACTGAACGATCTCTCACATTCAGAGGAAGAAATTGCAATTGTTCTGACTGCAGTCAAAAGAAGATGTAGATCTTTTATTTGTGAGGAATCTTTTGTATCTTTAAACTCACGGAATCCTCGGAACCATGGTATTAATAATTATACTTTGGTAATTGGAGATAAGACGAGTTATCACATCATCTATTGATCTATTATATTAAGTATATCGTCATTTATATTATGATTTACGATGTATAAAGATTTAATTCATGAAATGTATCTATGGCATAATCATGTTATAACCTATAGGTATATTTTGCATCAGAAAAACTGATGATTTACAAATTCTCTCTAGTAAATGTTGCGTTCCCAGCGTTCCGCATCAAATAAATAGAAGGGGTACGATAAAAAAAAATTTAAAAAGAAGGGGAACTCCGTCCCCCCGCGTCCCCCCAAATCAAGCACTGTAAGTACATGAAAAAATTAACTTATGAAGAACCTAAAATATTGCATCGGTGGGCGCGGTTTTTTGCTTATGAAGGTTCCTCCTTGATTTTAGCAAACTGAAGTCGCCACTTATTGCATCATTTAAAGCGTACGAGTTACGAGATGCCCTAGAATCTATAGATACTATTCTTAGTTCTTACCTTCAAGTTTGATAATAATATAATATATTATATTAATTAATTCTATTTTCTAATATTAGAGCTAATAACACTAAATTGGTTCTGCTGAACGAATCTGATATAAGCCTAATGAATAATGATGTTTCGACTATCGATTACTGATGACTGATGACAGGACTCTTTGAAATTTATTCCATTTGTTGTAATTTTATCCCTTGCAAATGGTGGTGTACTGATTTTTCGTCACCGCTATTAATTAATTTACCTAGCTATTTATTTTCATGTGACGCAACAATTGCCGTTTAGTACTGTTCATAATGGCCCAAGCCCCAAATTGTATTCTAAATATTTTTTTGGGTGAATGTATTTTGAAAATGTAGTTACTTTTAACAAATGATCATGGCCAAAATGTTAACTTAATTCGTTGTCCCACCCAGAACCATGAAACTATTTATAATAGCTGACGATACTTAATATGAACAGACTAATTAAATATTTATTACATCGTTAGCAATTTAGCATATTGATATAGTAATTATAAACTATAAGTAATAATGAAATGTTTTTACATAACCAATAAAACACTACAGTTACAAAGGTAATACATTATATTTTAGAGTAGGTAGAATACTAGTTTCTTAAATTATTTAAATTTAATTTTAAATTGTCAACCAGTGTACACCTGGAAAGACAGAGAGGATATTGTAAAAGCAACCACAACAGTAAAAATGTTAAATTATGTATTTCAAATTTCAATATTATATTATTCATCATATGAGTACCAAAACAAAAAAATGAACACTTGATAATAATTATGTATAATACACTAAAATACTTAGGTACTTAATGTACTATATTACAATAAGTTAGGTAAATTTTAAATTAATTTTTAAAGAAATAAAAAGTTTGAGGAATGGAGTTAATGTAAAATTAATGATTGTTATTACCGAAGAACACATATATACATAATATTAATTTACACAAACTCGGTACATTTATTTTTGTTACACAATTAATATATAATATATAAACAATGAACTTAACATTCAAGACAGTTATTAATTTTGATCAATGAGTTTACATAGTACACTAATTATTAACAAACATGTTTGTTATGGTGATTTCGAGATAGGTTCAAATGGTTGATTACGGTCGATTACCAAGTCATTATAGTAGGTACCTGCCTAGTTCTATGTTCTAGTGAATCTGTCTGTGGCAAATAGGTAGTTCGTTACCAAAACTGTACTTTAAAATATATTAAGATAATATGTGTTATAGCATGTAAATTAAAATGATTTCATCATGACGTTATATAAGTAGTAAGTACCTTTTAGTTAACAGTTATTATACTCATTACATTTTAAAATAATAATAATAATTAATATGTAGGTATAGGCAATCATGAATAAATGTAAATACCTTTATTACAAAATAAGTGTTTTTAAAAAAAAATTGATATTTGTGTATTGATACCTAAGTGGTTAAGTATAGTTACAAAGTCAAATAATATTAGTAGACATAGTGAAGTTTATTTGAAATCAACAACGTATTGGATATAGTAATCACTTTGCGTCTTAGTGTTACCAGATATTTTATTGACAACCAATACGCAAATATCGTTTATCATTGATGCAGGCAAGTTGAAAATAACACTCTGGACATTGTCATAAAAACGTGGTTGTTTATTATCACCCTCAGATAGATATCCTTGTTTATATCTCCTGTAGTCACATGTATACTTTAAAGCTGTTTCTAGGTCACTTAGGTGTACAATGTGAAACACCGTGTTCTGTAAGAAAATTGATTGGTATGAAAACAAGTACAAATAACGATAACAAGTTAAGTGGTAAACTACCGTCTACGGTCTGCCGTAAAAAATAAGATATAAAACTATGTATTTAAATATATTAGAGAATATAGTCATAATCATAAATATAAGCCTTATAGATTAGACTAATAGAGTGTCTTAGTATAATGTAAGTAACGTCATAAGGTTTAAAATATTTATTTTTCACAGATATATTAGGTAGGTAAGTGGCATCTCTTCTATTCTTAAATCGACGAAAACATGATATAATTTATAAATAGTAAAACTATAAAGTCTATGCTACACAGATATCGATTATTCCAAGTCTGAACTCTGAAAATCATGTTTATAGTTTGTACGAACAACACAATCTTTTGTAGAAACATTGATTTTAGAATTTTATAAAATCTAGGGTAGAAAGTAATAATAAGTAGATATTAAGAGATTAATATTTTTACTGGAGGTGATTATTGACTTGTTTATACTTAAATAAAGTAGACAACTGTGTTATTGTTTGTGGGTTACGCAGACATACAGGACATTAAATAGTGTAAGAAGAAGATAAGTAAACGGTAATGATTTAGAATGGCAACTTGTCAGTATCTATAGATTTTCGAGAAATGGTTACAAGAGTGTACCCGTTTTTTAGCCCCTGTGGTACACGAGTGTCTGCGTAAACAAATATGGCACTTTTTTGTTGCGGCTTCTAATCACGTGCGTGCTACTGATTATTGCAGTAAAAATATATCATAATTTATTCATAATAGTATAGTTTAAAATAAGTTATATGATACATTCAAAGTTCTATCAGTATAATGGAAATAAAACATAAATCATAGCAGTTTTAAATTTTTTAAATTTAAAATATTCAAATAGTTTTTTTAAACAGCTTAATAGTCGATGGAGTATAATACTAACATTACCGATAGTTTTTTGTAGTTTAAAAATGGTGTAGCAGACTTGGGGTTAGTATTCCGGGTACAGTACTCTAAATAGTATTTATTTATATTTTTATAAATACCTATGACTATTATCACATTAACGTCCGTATATAATTGAATAATTCATATATATACTATCTGTCTAGATCTTATTGTGCACCGCACCCGATATTTGTATCCTGTTCAGAGTACAGTGTTATAGTATTATAGTCTGTAGGTACACATATTATTTTCATATGAATCTAATTTTGGTATGAGTCAATATTGTACCTTTAGTCTCTACACTTTACACAGATATTTTTTTTGTTTTAGCATTAGGTGCTATAGGTTGTTTATGATTAAAATAAAAACATTTAGCCACGTGTATTATAAAAGTCCTGTAATGACTATTAACTATTAAGTTGATATCTATCGATATTTGTGTGTTGAACTATAGTGATTTTTTTGTAGTCTGTATTTTAAATTAAAACTTATAATCGTAATATTATATAAATGTATATTGTTTCCTTACCACTGAATAAGAATCCACCATTTCTTGTCTCAACTTGAAACGACCATACTGAAAAGGATTTTGGACCCTTCGAATAGTATTAATGCTTAATAATGTAGAGTTAAACATTGCTTTTACATGTTCTGCCTCTCTAGTATGGATTTGTACATCAAATAGTTTGTAACTGCTATTATATGTGGTTACAGATTCCCACTCACTTGGTACGTTTTGCAACACAAATGACAGCATTGAAGTCATGATGGTTAGGTATCTGAAAATGGATGGTTGATTACAATTCAACTATAGCAACATGGAATTAATTTTACATTCCTAAAATTAATAAATATATATATCTTTTAATATTAGCATATGCGTATTTATATTTTGATTCTTTAAGTTGTGTACATCATACATATTATTTTGGAGAGCAACAAGAACCGTGTGTTATTGGTTAGTAAATCTCCCTTTTTATAAAACACTCCGTTCACCCTGCCGCGGACGACGACGGCGGCTGGACTACACGACAACGTAGATAAGATAGGAATTATTTTTAATTTTAATTCGACCAAAAACAACTTTGCACGAGAAAACCATAAAAAATTAGAGAACTGGTCAAACAACAAAAATAAACAGAAAAACTGGAAATTAACTTTTTTTTTGAAAAATCGCTGAAAAAAGCACTTTTAAATTTCATAATCGTGTTGTAACATGACATACACTTCCACAGGACTCTGCTACATTTTAAGTCAATCCATAAAAATAAACAAATGCTTTAAGTCCCGAGCCCGGGTTATTAGTTATAAGTCATTACTTATTACATTTGATGAATGCCACTATTCTAAGTGGCTTCAGTTTACCTACTTATGTAGGTACCTATAATTCTCAATATTTTGTTCCATACGTTTGATAACATAAGCATTTAATAATAGTAGCTTTTTTCACCGGTGGGCAGATGAGGTAAGACAATTACTGAATGATCCATCCAAAGCATAACTTTTTGAACAATTTGTACATTTTTAATAAATTATTAAACTGCACAAATATGTAAAAAAACTAAAATGTCTAAAATAAAATATTTATGTTGTTTATCTGTAATAATAATGATATTTTCTCCTTGATTATACCAAATGTAATTAATTGTTTTTATTTTATTTTTATTTTTAAAGCATTGGTATTCTATAATTATAATGATATAAGCTGATTACCTATTTTAATATTTTTAATGTTAAGGCTATGATTTTTACACATTCTGCCATATTATTAATGCATTATTCACTTGGTGTTTGACAGAATGTTATGTGTCAATATAAGTTAAAATTATAAATAAAATGCATTATTTCTACGTAATCCAAAGTCAAATGAGTTTTAACCCAGTTAATTAACAAATAACTAATAAACATGAACTATACAATGATATAACAATTAACAGTAATATACATAAATTATGCATGTATGCTTAAAATCAATATTATAATAGGTAATAATTAAAACTGAACTTTAATAATTTATGATACTTTTGATCTCTCTTCTGATTAAAACAATCAAATGCCGATATAAAATGTAATATATAATAATTATTATGCTGTAGATAGAAATAATATTGTATTAACTATTAAGTAGATAAAAAATAAAAATAAATGTATAAATGGCCAATGAACATTAAATATTATTTATTTAATTATATTTGAATTCACTTAATTTAAAATATGAGTAATAAATTATAAGTCGTTTAGTCATTGAACAATTAACAATACGCATAGAATTAAAAATATTCTGTTGCTTGTAATCGCAGGGATTTTAGCCAGTAATATTGTTTTGGTAAATGAATTAATATTTATTGAGGCGAGGAATCAAATTCAATTTTGAATCAGTTGAAAAATAACTCTAAACAATAATATATTAATATAATTTATTTGACATTATTGAAGTGATAGATTGTGTAACTATACATATAATAGTATAATACGAGTATAGAAGTACTAATCTAAATAAATATTAAAAATGTAATTAATACAAAGCTATATTTTCTAAAACGAAGAGTTTTTTTATGATTGTATGAAGTAGGACAATAAAGTTAATTTATTATTATTCATTAAATATTACTTATTTGTTATTACTATAGATATATTTAATATTTACTAATGCTAAATAAATACTCAGTTTTTTTAATTACAATTATCTTGCGTGTCTCAGGCTAAGCACGGTTTCAGCTATCTACGTTTCAGTTGCAGACTACTGTAGTGTGTTTCTCTGCTATCACGGTTCAGAGTTTTATTTTTGTACACTAAATTAAATTAATGTATTGTTTGGATACAACGATTAAAGTATTTCATTAGTTATTAATAACCACTAAACCACAGGCTTACACTGGAAATGATGATAGTGTCTTTAATCTTTATACTGTTTGTTGTCAAGGAAATTAACAAACGAGAAAATGTATTAGTATTCTAAGTAAACAGTAAAAAAGTCGCAAAAAATACGTAGGTACCAATACTTTTACTGTAGGACCTAGTTAATTATAATATGAATATGCAAAATGTAATTTAAGCACCAAATGCCGCACGTATAACTAAAAAAATACGTTAAAATTACGTCATGAGTGATCATTCTCCATGTTAAATTAAAACAAATAGGAACCTTTATATTGGGCTTATCTTATGAATGTCTTACCTATCGTTATTATTTTGTTGTGGGGATTTATCGTTGTTTTAAATTATTATGTTGCTGATTACCATAAGTTTTGTTAATTGTTATATAATATTATCTAAGCAACAAAAAACTGTTTTAATTTCGATTTTAAATTCCTATCCGGTTTTCTATTATAAAAAATTGTAATTTTTTTCTCAATTTAAATTTATTATAGTATAGTTTACATGAATCATATCCTTTCTGAATGTTCTATTCAGCTACTTACTAATTAAATAAAAACCAAAACTCTTCAAAATCCATACAAAATATTAGAGTACATTAATTAGCTAATTTAGAATTCGACTACATTGCTATCATTTTTCAATGCCAAACAAGTAACAACTAGTTTGCTAATGTACTACGGACTAAGATATATCTGGTATGTAGTGATGATAAAAATGAATTAGCTTAAAGAATATAATACCTACAGTTAATGTTTTGTACTTTCAGAGTACTAAGTAGGTATGAAACTATTATCGAATGAATAAAGTCAACAAAATATACTTACCAACTTTTAGATTTAAGCTGTATGTAGAAAATATTGTATAAATGCTGTATAGTTTTGATGTAATATTTGTTGTACGGAAGAGTTATTAATTATTATTTATACTATACTATTTGAATTTAAAATTTTAAAATTTAGTATGAAATGACACTTCGTTCTTGAATACCAGACGTTCACTGAATTACTGATCTATGGACACTGCTGTTATTCTCAGTTCACGTACCCACCCACACTGTTTCATAATATTATTGTATAGTAATCAGTAATCAGTAAGGCAACACTAAACATTAATATGCTTGTCAGTTGTCAGTACTAAGTAACTTAATTATCGCTGCTTAGTATAAATATTATTTAATTTATTTAATCATAGCAAAATTGTCAATCGGTTGTCGAAGTGGGGAGGCTACAAGAAAATATCATAGGTGCCATTGAAGCGGCATGGTTCAATGTGCAACAGAACACCTTAGGGCTTAGGGCGTAATATTTACCTTCCATTAGTACTTTTGGACTCATTTATTTCATTATTTCTTTGCATAAATATAAACATATTGTACTAAATCTGAGCCTATTAGCGTTACCCAGAAGACACAGCGAAGAGGTTGGAAATAGTCTTCAAAAAATACTTGATTTTTTTTAAAACGTCCTGATTTAATTTTTGCTAATTTTTAGTTTATTATTTATTAATATTATTCTATATTATTATGATATTTTCTATTTATTTTATGTGATTAATTAATTTTTTCCCGCAAAATGTGGTCCTATTTTTTTATGTAATTCAATATATATTTTCAACTTTTTAAGTTTCCCAGAATTTGTTCACAAACTTATTTTTCTTCAGTTTCTTTTTTTAATTTACTTGTTATTTTACGATCATATACTATCAAACGGTGAATACTGAATACAGAACACCTTATCTGTACTAGTAGATATGCTTTATCTATAGCTATATTTCATGCAGTATTTTCCAATTATTAAGATAATATGGTCTAAAACAATAAGTAAACAATTAAGTACTCATTAGATTAGATTACACAAGACATTCGATTACTAGTTACTGTATTGTACCCAAAAGTGTTTTCATAAATACCACCCAAATTTGATAACAATTTTCAGGTAAATTTTGTATACTGCGCTCAAATCCCCCCCCCCCCCCAAACTGAGTAATTCAAAGACAAAAAATTAGAAGTAAAGATATTAAACTAGCAGTGAAATGCTGTTTAGAAGCAATACATTTTTTTTGGTGTTGTTCAAAAATTGTATACACATAGATGAAATTTGCTTTTGACTGGTTTACAATCGGGAAAAAAAATTAATCGTTTTGAAAACTTTATGTAATACTAGGTGGGAATGTCAAGCGGTGTCGTGCAAAGCTATTATTATCTATTATGACTAAATTATATGTACATTAACGGATATTTTTGAAAATTTTAATGAAAAACAAGAAAATCGTCACTTGGCTAAATCAATAAAAAATAAAATGATAAAGTTTAAAACAGCTTTATGGCAGTTATGTTGAGTGAAATTTTATCGCTGTTCAACAGTGTCAGAAAATAGTAAATACTTTCAAAAACCGGGTATAGATTTGTTTACTGCTGTAAATCCATTAAAAGGATTAAAAACTTATGTTAGTTAATTAAGAGAGAAGTTTTTATATTTTGAAAACAAAGCATAGGAATTATCAACAAATATTTTGCTCCGTAGAGAAAAAATTGTTAGAAAAAAAATTCTCGGATGGTACAATAGAAGGAAATTAAAACTTTTAAGAAATAAGATTAAATAACATATAGATTAAACGTATATGATAATCTTTGTAGTATTTTTGGGCTTATTACAAAATTTGGTGCACAATTATTATCTGCAGAGACTTCTGTCGACATATTCATTAGGACATTCAAAGATGATATTGATACAACAAATATAAAACAAGAGATTGTGCACTTTTCAAATTATGAAACGCAGTTCAATTTACCAATAATTTCTCATCAAAATATTTACTTATATGTACATGCAAATAATTAAAAATAAATCTTTCCAAATGTGTACATTTTTCTACGACTTTATTTAACTTTGCCAGTTTCGAATTGTGAAGCAGAAAGAACTAATTCAAAATATAAAACGCCAGAAGAACGACCCTTCACCAAGAAAAATTAAGCTCACTTGTTCGTATATCTGCTGAATGGTAAATAACTCATACACTTGATTTTTCAGATCTAATTCAAAAGTTTAGTGAACTAAAATCTAGAAAAAAACCACTGTCTTAAATTCTAAATAATGTAAATTTTTTTATTATTTACGTTGACTATGTTGAAAAATGCATTACCACTTTGACTTTGTCTTTGTGTATATCAGTAAACATTTGTTTAAATTAAAAACTGCATCTACATGTCTTTACTTATATTTAAATTTTTAATTTCATCGTTTTATTTATATTAATCATCATTAATAATAATTACGTATAGACTTATGGAATAATTTATTTATAATCTTATAAAATAAATTGAATATAAAAAATCCAAACAGCCAAAATACTGCATTTATAATTTAAGTTGATAATTTAGAATTTAGATAATAATTAATTTTTGGGCCCCGTCAAAAAATTAGACCCGGGCCCCAAAATTCCTAAGTTGGGCTCCGCACATGGCACAATCTGAGTGGCGTTATAGGTTACACAATCCTAAGAAGCGGGTAAGTGGATGTTTCTCTGCTGTACATTAGGTGTCTAGGAGGTTGCTGTAATGGATGGTATTACATTTGAGTTCAACGATATCAAATCACTATTCTGAGCGGAGACGGTATGTCAGTCTAGGGTAATTTATATTGTTATTACTTATTATTAATATGGTAGCCGCTAAGCAAGGTTTATAGATAATATTATCTATAAACCTTGGCCGCTAAGCACTATTAATATTATTCTTAAATTATCAGTGATGTTGGAAAAATATTAAATATACCTATGTAAAATTGGACTGTTTTGGAACCAAATTACAACAAAATGATAAACGTTATCCTTTGTGTTAATATGCAATCTTATCCCAATTTGAACTTAAAATATCTGTAAAAAATAACTGTATTCATGTATTTTTTTAGATTTTTTTGTTACGGAAAAAACTCGTGGAACTTTGTTTTAAATGTTTAATCCTTAGCTATAAAAATTGAACATTTTATACCTTTTTAACGCAAAATAATTTTCAATTTTTAAAATTGATAAATATTGTCAAAATTTGAACTTTAAATTCTTATAAAAAAAATTGTGCCTATGTATTTTTAATATTTCTCAACTACTATTGTCACAAGTTATCAAGAGTCCTGTATTAAATGTTCATGCATTTGACGCAACACGTAACCAATAACATTTTATTGACATTTATAGAAAACAAATGAAAATTGAAAATGTCCGTCAACCGCTTAAAACGAGTCAAAATATTTTGAAAATTGTATCAAGTATATAAATTGATGAAATAAACATTTGATGTAAATTTCAAGTTTCTACAGTAATTTGTTTTTGAATTACAACAAAATAAGGAAATCGCTTCAAGAGAAATCGAGTGAATATCCAATATTGCAAACATTTCAACTTCAAACGCTCAAAAAATTTAATTAGACTTTTCGGTAGAAATTTTTTTTTTTTTTTTGATAAATCTAGACAAACTTGTAAGGAATCTTGTATTCAATTTTTAAATCTTAGATTTAGAAAAAAATTTTTTTATGAATTTCAAACTAAATATAATTTGCTCATTTTCGTGATTTTTACGAATTTTGATAAAAATTCGGTACTCGTCCAATATGCTATCTACCGCACGTTTGTTGGTTTAGTATGCTATCTACCGTAAATATTTTATATTTTTATCTACCGTAATTTTTTTGTTGATGAAGTATGATATCAACACGTATTTAAATGTAAATTAGGATGCAGAATTTCTTCTTTGTCATTTTTGTATACTGTGTAGTTATGTATACGTATTTCTGATCGCTCTGAGGAATGATTCGAAGAGGTCTTCATTTGGTTTTTGTAACGAGCGCCACCACCCTTCTTAAAGTTGTGATGGTAATATGTTAGTCGCTCCCCGGGTTTTAATGTTAAATTTATTTTTGACGTGTCTCCAAAGAGTTTCTATAGTTTGGGTCTCAGCACCAGTTATTGGATTAATGACATTTTCTGAATGATTAACCGTTTTGTGGATGAACCCATGTTCATTTAAACTTTAAAGTAGAATACGCACGCCATTTATCGGAATATATAGTAGTACCTTGTTCAACTTCATTTAATATTTTAATATAATTGGTAGTAAGGTATTTCGATCACGCTTTTCAACTTAAAAAAAAACGTCTCTCTAAAATGCTATCAGCTTACAATATAAACCAAAAATCCATGGCCCCTGAATTACGGACATTTTGATTATTTATTACTTCGTCTACATCTGAACTCTCTTAATTTTCATCTGACATTTCCTCGGGTTTGCGATCTCCAAGACGTAATCTTCTATGATTATATTTCTTTTTACCTTGGAACAAGGATTCATCTATTTGCACAACGAGGCTAGGACCTCCCAATTTTTTACGTTTTTGAAATTCAGCTACTGCTACGTCTCGACATAAATTATACCACTATACCAGTCAACTATAGTTGATCTTGATATTTTCGTAAACACCTCGGCTTGTGTTACCTTTATTTGAAATACCCAATACCAAATTTAACAAATTTAAACCACTGTTGTCTGTTACACTTCCCATTTTTATCCATATTATACGTAAAAAAGTTGTTGTTCTTGCGTATGGAATAAAATGTTTGGCATCCTTTTTTCGTACATCGATTATAAATTGTTTTCAAAATATTACCTTCCGAATCACGTTTTCGGCTATTTTTCAGAACTTGTATTAACTCACCACCACAAATTGCTTGTTTTTTAATTTTTGTACAAGTTTGGTCGATTGGTAATAAACCGCATATACTTAAACAAATTTCGCACATCTCTTCATTTTGAATTATGTGTCGATATAAATAACTCATAGTTGACAAACTCATAGTAATAATTATTAAATAATATTTAATAATAAATAAATCACAGTAAACCCACGTATATTCGACACGACTCACAAACACACATTAACAGGTATAATATAAAGGTATAAATACTAGCCTACCTAACTTACTAAGGTATAAAATATAATATGATTTGGGGTTTCAATAAAGGCTTAAAGGTGGTTTCACACTATGCGTTTTAGACGCAAGCGGACGCGCGTTTTTAAATCGCACGAACGCAGCACAAAAATATATTGCCGTGAATGAATTAATGCTTTCACACTACGGGAAAAACGCGCGGTTGATCGCGTCCGATCGCATACGATCGGACTGGTTTAATTTGGTGCGTTCGAACGCACCCGCAATCTAAAATTAAATAATACCTTAAACCGACATCATTCACACTATGCGATTAAACGCATGCGTTTCTCCACTCGAGTCATCTATTTAAATATTTAAATTTTGACCATGTTTGACATGGAGAAATTCATTTTTGAAGTTCAAGCAGAAGAGGCGATCTGGAATAAAGGTAAGTAATGTTATTTTTAGTATAACTGCCTATATACGTAGGTGGTTAAGTACTAATCATGACAACTATATTATGAAACTCGATAATTCCTATATTACCTACTTAGTATTAGGTACTTACTAGAAGTTAGACAAAATGGGCTTTATTTATATGGTACTCCCCCTCCCTGCGATAAAACTCTGCGCATGGTATTGCCTATGATTACAAGTATGGTACCTAAGTATCAAGCGTATTTTGTATTGTAATACATTCTTAGAATAACATATTAACATATAACGTTTATTTCAAAAAATGTTTCATTGAAAGATAGGTAGGGAAAATTGGGGCAGATTTGAATGAAATTTAAATTTAATTTTTTTAATTTTTCGACAAATTTTGTATTTGATAATTACAATTTTTAGTCTAGAATTTAGATGGTTGTAAATACTATTTGACTCATAACAACCTTTATATATTAAATAACCAATTTAATTATTATAACTGTAAAGTTAAGTATATTTTTATTCAAAAGTAGATTTGAACATGTGTCTTAAACAGTTAAAGGGCCACATTTGAATGTTGAATATAAATAAATATTAAATTAAATTAAACTTTTTCTTTATTTTAATAATAAATAAATAACTCAATATAATATAATAACAATTTTTACAATTAGGTTTAGATGTTTTCTAGTCGACTTTTTTTTTTTTTGTGAAAAGCTAGATTTTTGGGTTTTCTTATAGATAAATTTACATAATGTTGTGACATAATTCCAGTAAACTAGTCTATTTCAGTCATATGATAGGTATTTCAAAAAGGAGGAACCTATATTACACCCTATTATCTACCCCATTAATGAAGATTCAAATCTACCCCATGCCATTATTACATGACACCATATTTAGTGTAATATGATTTAGGATTAGGTACCTTTCTGATTAGTATTAGGTACATGGTAGATAACATGTATGTACCTATCACCTATATTTTAAAAGTTGTATAATATATTTTTATAGAAATACCACAGCACCACAACAAAGACAGCCTACACGTCAGCTGGTGTAAAGTTGCTGTAGCCTGTGTTGATCAATTCAATGAGATGGATGATAAAACCAAAACCTTTAAAAGTATGGAAATAATTTTTCATAATTTATATTTGTGCATTTATTACTTTACAAGCTACTCTTAAATTAAAAATGTTATATTTCTTTCCACTATAGGTACTACATAATAAGTAACAGTAGGTAGTTAATAGTTTGATTTAAAGAATCACTTTATTTTGCCAGCTTAGTGCATTTTGTGGGCTATTTACATATTTAACAAAATATTCCCTAACATCTTTAGCATTTGAAGGAGCATTTCCAACGCCTCTTCTCTCTTCTATTCCTCCAATGTTGCAGTTTTCTAAATCTTGTTTGTCGTATCCATCTCTGCGCCTAACAAAGTTATGTAATATACATGCTGCTTTAGTAATTTGAACTGCAAAATCTGGAGAAGTCAAAATTGGTGTATGGAATACTCTCCATTTATTTGAGAGAATTCCAAATGTGCATTCAATGAAACGTCTAGCCCTGGACAATCGGTAATTAAAAATCCTCCTCTTATTGGTCAAGCTTTTCCCTGGAAATGGTCTCAACAAATGTTTATTTAAAGCAAAAGCCTCGTCACCGACCACAATAAATGGTTGAGGTACTCCATCTTCATCACCAGGCAAAGGAGCATCGGGGGGGAAGTTAACTTTGTCAGCATAAAGATTTTTCCCGAACCGTGACTGTTTGAATATATTACAGTCACTCTCTTTGCCATACGATCCCACGTCAATAATTCTGAAGCAATAATTTGCATCACACAATCCAAGCAGAATTAATGAAAAAAAGTGTTTGTAGTTATAATAAAGACTTCCAGTTTTTTTAGGACATTGCAACCTTATGTGTTTACCATCGACTGCAGCAACTGTGTTTGGAAATTGAGTTTTTTCAAAAAAACCTTTTGCCATATCTAACCAATCATTTTCTGTAGGTATAGGCATTTCTATTGGCTGTAATATGGTCCACAACACTTCACAAGTCTCTCTTATTAGTTTTGAAATAGTTGAAATTCCCATTAAAAATTCAAAATGTAAGGTTGAAAAATTTGCACCGGTTGCTAAATATCTAGAACAAACAACATTTGGTAACTTTTTGGATATTTAGTTTCACTAATGAAATTTATAAAACTGTATTTTAAAAGATGTGTTAAATGTCTACACAATTGTATTATTATTTAATACAAAAAAATCTATATAATATATATTTACATACATAAGAACATACTTAATTTTAATTTCGTCATAAAACTAATGAATTTTTGTATTTGTATTACTGTATTGTGTATTATTGTACAACTGTACACAGTAGTAAACTCAATAATACATATTACTAGTAATTGTAAAATAATTTATAAAAAGATTAGGTATAAAAAATAAAATGTATTACCTATATTGGCTATATTATAAAATAACATGCTTAACAAGTTATATTTACACTTTATACTATGTTATAAAAAATTAAAAAATAAACACTGCTATTATAGTATTGTGGAAAATATTTCAATATTTGTTTTTTCAGTTGATGAAATGAAAAAGAAATGGAGATCAATTAGAGACAGTTACAGAAAAAAATGTATACCAAAATCTGGACAGGCAGCTTCTAAAGTTAAAAAATATATCTATGCAGATATATTAGAATTTTTACGACCTGTTATGCAGAATAGAAAGTAAGATTTTAAATAGCAAAATAAGTGTAATGAATAGTTTTGTTAATATTTTAATTTTTTTTAATGTTATATTATATATTTTATAATATATAGGTATGTATTAATACTAATGTTGTAATTCAGAAATCAAAACCAGCATAAACAAATGTAAACCATTAATTTATTTTATTTTTAGAACTGAAGGTAATTTTGAGGGATCTACTGATTCGGGTGGTGAAAACGAAGATATAGATCAAGTGGACGATAGAACAGCCGTTATCGAACCAACTGATTCAACTCTTGGTGAAAGTCAATTGGAGGAAACAGTTGTTGATAAAAGAAAATGCTACAAGAATAACGACAAGAAAATAAATAAAGAACCAAATTTTGAAAATAAACTTCTGGATGTTCTGAAAAACAGAACTCCTGAAGTAGAAGATCCTGACAAATCTTTCTTTTTATCATTACTACCACAAATAAGAGAGCTAACAAGCAATCAAAAACTCCAATTGTATTCTGAAATTATTAATTCCATCAAAAACATTAAAGATGCTCCAAAGGAACTATCATATACTAATGAATATTCTGCAGTACCAAGACCTTACCCCCCTAATATTCCATTCCAACCCTACAATTACCATATAACTCAAAATCAAAATGTTACTCCTCAAAACTACAATGCATCTTCTCATGAATACTCACAAGGTCATAATTCATCATCTTATCAATCATTATAATTATTTATTTTCAATTAGTTTATTGAACAGTACGTCAGTACATAATATTAATTTCCTAATATTATATGATTAAATTCATATTTAATTTAATAAATATTATGTTAAGTCCAGAACACAGCAATTCACATATTTAATACAAGTCTCTCATAAAAATAAGAAATAAGGTAAAAGTTATACCTACTGGCTATTTTATTAATAATGTATATATTATCATTCATTACAACAATAAACATAGTAACATACAGTTTACAAGCAAAAGTATATTTTATTTATTTGATTTGAATAAATCATGAAGTGTAACCATTGTACGCCTATGAGTGTAACCAACATTTATATGTATTTATGTTAATATAATGATAAAATATGACATAATAAATATAATAATTAAAGTGACTTGTTTTTGTTATCTTTATAAAATTAATATTTGTAACTAGAATATGTTAGAATAAAAGTGTATACCTTAATGTAACAGATAGCCTCTCTTCAGGTGGAATGGCTGAACGCAAAATAGTGTCTTCTTTTTTTAAGTATGGTCCGATAAGTGTTAGCTAATTATACAAATTACAGTTTTTTAATATAAACTAATTATTCCAACCTCATTTAGTTATAGATACTACTAGATAAAAATAAAGTAAACAGTTGTTTAAATCAACTCACAAAAAAAAAATGTGTTTTGTACATACATATATTTAATTAAAAATAGCTTACCAATTCATCAAATGTTGTAATTCTCATGCGATAGTATTTAAAAAATTCTTCTGGGTATGCCCTCAGAGTGAAAAAATTAACCTGAAACTGTCCTTCTTGAGGTCTTTTCATATTAAGAGGATGTACCCAATAACGCCTTGATGTTATAGCTTTTTTTTGTTTTTTTTT